CCAGACTTAAGGCCGAAGAAGAAGCCAGACTTAAAGCTGAAGAAGAAGAAAGACAACGACTTGAAGAAGAAGAAAGACTCAAAGCTGAAGAGGAAGAAAGACAAAGACTTGAAGAAGAAGAAAGACTTAAAGCTGAAGAAGAAGAAAGACTCAAAGCTGAAGAGGAAGAAAGACAAAGACTTGAAGAAGAAGCCAGACTTAAGGCCGAAGAAGAAGCCAGACTTAAAGCTGAAGAAGAAGCCAGACTTAAAGCTGAAGAAGAAGAAAGACTTAAAGCTGAAGAGGAAGAAAGACAACGACTTGAGGAAGAAGCCAGACTTAAGGCCGAAGAAGAAGAAAGACTTAAAGCTGAAGAAGAAGAAAGACAAAGACTTGAGGAAGAAGAAAGACTTAAAGCTGAAGAAGAAGAAAGACTCAAAGCTGAAGAGGAAGAAAGACAAAGACTTGAAGAAGAAGCCAGACTTAAGGCCGAAGAAGAAGCCAGACTTAAAGCTGAAGAAGAAGCCAGACTTAAAGCTGAAGAAGAAGAAAGACTTAAAGCTGAAGAAGAAGAAAGACAACGACTTGAGGAAGAAGCCAGACTTAAAGCTGAAGAAGAAGAAAGACTTAAAGCTGAAGAAGAAGAAAGACAAAGACTTGAGGAAGAAGAAAGACTTAAAGCTGAAGAAGAAGAAAGACTCAAAGCTGAAGAGGAAGAAAGACAAAGACTTGAAGAAGAAGAAAGACTTAAAGCTGAAGAAGAAGAAAGACAAAGACTTGAAGAAGAAGCCAGACTTAAGGCCGAAGAAGAAGCCAGACTTAAAGCTGAAGAAGAAGAAAGACAACGACTTGAAGAAGAAGAAAGACTCAAAGCTGAAGAGGAAGAAAGACAAAGACTTGAAGAAGAAGAAAGACTTAAAGCTGAAGAAGAAGAAAGACTCAAAGCTGAAGAGGAAGAAAGACAAAGACTTGAAGAAGAAGCCAGACTTAAGGCCGAAGAAGAAGCCAGACTTAAAGCTGAAGAAGAAGCCAGACTTAAGGCCGAAGAAGAAGAAAGACTCAAAGCTGAAGAAGAAGAAAGACAACGACTTGAAGAAGAAGAAAGACTCAAAGCTGAAGAAGAAGAAAGACAAAGACTTGAAGAAGAAGCCAGACTTAAGGCCGAAGAAGAAGCCAGACTTAAAGCTGAAGAAGAAGAAAGACAAAGACTTGAAGAAGAAGAAAGACTTAAAGCTGAAGAAGAAGAAAGACTTAAAGCTGAAGAAGAAGAAAGACTCAAAGCTGAAGAGGAAGAAAGACAAAGACTTGAGGAAGAAGCCAGACTTAAGGCCGAAGAAGAAGAAAGACTTAAAGCTGAAGAAGAAGAAAGACTCAAAGCTGAAGAGGAAGAAAGACAACGACTTGAGGAAGAAGCCAGACTTAAGGCCGAAGAAGAAAGACTCAAAGCTGAAGAAGAAGAAAGACAACGACTTGAAGAAGAAGAAAGACTCAAAGCTGAAGAAGAAGAAAGACAACGACTTGAAGAAGAAGCCAGACTTAAGGCCGAAGAAGAAGAAAGACTTAAAGCTGAAGAAGAAGAAAGACTCAAAGCTGAAGAGGAAGAAAGACAAAGACTTGAGGAAGAAGCCAGACTTAAGGCCGAAGAAGAAGCCAGACTTAAAGCTGAAGAAGAAGAAAGACTTAAAGCTGAAGAAGAAGCCAGACTTAAAGCTGAAGAAGAAGAAAGACTCAAAGCTGAAGAGGAAGAAAGACAAAGACTTGAAGAAGAAGAAAGACTCAAAGCTGAAGAAGAAGAAAGACAACGACTTGAAGAAGAAGCCAGACTTAAGGCCGAAGAAGAAGCCAGACTTAAAGCTGAAGAAGAAGAAAGACTTAAAGCTGAAGAAGAAGAAAGACAAAGACTTGAGGAAGAAGCCAGACTTAAAGCTGAAGAAGAAGCCAGACTTAAAGCTGAAGAAGAAGAAAGACTTAAAGCTGAAGAAGAAGCCAGACTTAAAGCTGAAGAAGAAGAAAGACTCAAAGCTGAAGAGGAAGAAAGACAAAGACTTGAAGAAGAAGAAAGACTCAAAGCTGAAGAAGAAGAAAGACTTAAAGCTGAAGAAGAAGCCAGACTTAAAGCTGAAGAAGAAGAAAGACTCAAAGCTGAAGAGGAAGAAAGACAAAGACTTGAAGAAGAAGAAAGACTTAAAGCTGAAGAAGAAGAAAGACTCAAAGCTGAAGAGGAAGAAAGACAACGACTTGAAGAAGAAGCCAGACTTAAGGCCGAAGAAGAAGCCAGACTTAAAGCTGAAGAAGAAGAAAGACTTAAAGCTGAAGAGGAAGAAAGACTCAAAGCTGAAGAAGAAGAAAGACAAAGACTTGAAGAAGAAGAAAGACTTAAAGCTGAAGAAGAAGAAAGACTCAAAGCTGAAGAGGAAGAAAGACAAAGACTTGAGGAAGAAGCCAGACTTAAGGCCGAAGAAGAAGCCAGACTTAAAGCTGAAGAAGAAGCCAGACTTAAGGCCGAAGAAGAAGAAAGACTCAAAGCTGAAGAAGAAGAAAGACTCAAAGCTGAAGAGGAAGAAAGACAACGACTTGAAGAAGAAGAAAGACTCAAAGCTGAAGAAGAAGAAAGACAAAGACTTGAGGAAGAAGCCAGACTTAAGGCCGAAGAAGAAGAAAGACTCAAAGCTGAAGAGGAAGAAAGACAACGACTTGAAGAAGAAGAAAGACTCAAAGCTGAAGAAGAAGAAAGACAAAGACTTGAGGAAGAAGCCAGACTTAAGGCCGAAGAAGAAGAAAGACTCAAAGCTGAAGAAGAAGAAAGACAACGACTTGAAGAAGAAGCTCGTCTCAAAGCTGAAGAAGAAGAAAGACAACGACTTGAAGAAGAAGAAAGACTTAAGGCCGAAGAAGAAGAAAGACTCAAAGCTGAAGAAGAAGAAAGACAACGACTTGAAGAAGAAGAAAGACTTAAGGCCGAAGAAGAAAGACTCAAAGCTGAAGAAGAAGAAAGACAACGACTTGAAGAAGAAGCCAGACTTAAGGCCGAAGAAGAAGAAAGACTCAAAGCTGAAGAAGAAGAAAGACAAAGACTTGAGGAAGAAGCCAGACTTAAGGCTGAAGAAGAAAATCTCAAAGCTGAAGAACACAAAGAAATTGAAATTGTCGAGGATGCAGCAGTAATCACACGTGAATTTGTGATGGATGAAGCATTAAACAATGAAGAAAGCATAGAAAAGCACGAAAAGAGTGATTCAGACAAAGAAGAAGAGCCAGTTGTAGTTGAATCATCAGAAAAATCACGCGAACTTCAACTTGAGTTCAAGCACAAATTTGGCCTTATCTATTCCATTCACGATCGTTCTCTTCTCAACCTTGCACTCAAAGAATGCGGAACACAGTTCAGCTACATTTGCTTCCGTTACATCGCATTCCCCAACAACAGAAACTTCAACTTCACAAATCGTCTCATTGAACCTCTCAGATCATACCGCATCTTTGAGTTCAGATGCCTTGAAGAAGGAGACTTACTGAAGCTCTTTGCACCAGTCATCAAATCGGTTTCATTCGCTTGCAGCATTGACACTGACTTAGACGGCGCTTTAGGACTTCTTTCAACTCTCCTCAATTTCGGCATCGAGTTGCAGACTCTCGCAGGACCATATACATCAGCGCATTTCCCTGTTGTGAAGAAGATCGAGGAGAACATCACATTGCTTATGAATGTCCTCATGCAAAAGCTCTTCTCTTCAATTGGAACATGCATCATGTGCGATGGTGAAGACATCAAATTCGATGAATATTCAAACAAGATGCTTCGTGATACATCTGCTGCATTCAAACAGTCAATCACAAAGTACTCAATTCCTGAAGAAGTTGTCCAAGCAATTGTGGTTTCCTGCGCTCATTATTTCGCTGCAATTACATTCAATGTCATTATCACGACATCAGAGAAATTCACAGTTCAAAACACAACAAGGTTGCTTGAAAAGATGAGAGAAATTCAAGGTTTGTTCGTCTGTCTTCCTTCGAATTTCCCTGAAGCATTTTCTAATGTTTTGAGATTGATTTCTATGGTTCAAGCTTTGGAAGTTGGAACCACATTACAGAGAATGCAGAGAGACCCACAACTATGGCGCTCAGTCGCTGAGAGAATGACAAACGCAGAACTCCCAGAAGGAGTTACTCTTGACGATATCGCACCAAAGGTCGAAAGATCTTCTTTGCAAGTTCCTATTCCAATGATGGAATTCAAGTTCACTTATGAATGGCTATTCACAACTTCCGCTACTAATAACTACGACGACAACATCGAAGAAGATGAAGATGACGAAGCAAGTGATAGCGGATCTTATGAATCAGACTGATTTTTTTTAATATTTATTTTCACTATCTTTTTGTATAAACAATTATCGTTTATCTTTAATTAAATGGTGAATCAGGTACATATATATCTGATTTCTTTTATGCTTGTATATCAATAATAAATCATGTTAAGAATCAATAATGATAGAGAACTATTTAATTCATATGAATCATATTCTTCGTCTTGGCGATTTCTAAGTAAAAGACTGCAATCGATTGTTTCATGAGATATTAGTAGTAGTTGTTCACTGGAATTGTGGTTTTTGGGGTTCTATTTACCCACAAAGTCTTGGAGCATACTCAAAATTGCTGGTATTGCTTGCTTGCCTTGAATGAAGACCTGCCCATTGAGAAACCTAGGCAGAAGGGCATACAAAGGATCTAAGCTAAATATTTTAGAAAGGATATCATTAGCATACTACATATATTTACTTGAATCATTTATTTAGGTAACTCAACACTAATATTATTGTCAAAAAAATTAGTCAAAAAAAGTCATGACACTTTTTACGGGATTATAAATAAGCCCGAAAAAGTATCAAGCAAATAATAATATATATATATTCACTTTTTAATCATCGTCCCTCGTCTCAAAAAGTGACTATTGTTTTAGTCAAGAAAAATTGAATGTATCACAGAACGTTTTCGAGATTTATTGAACAAATACAACCATAATGTTGCTGCTGTTTCTTGTTCATGAAATCAAATCTTATGATCTTCAAAATATTGCAGATTGCTACCAAAACGATTTTATTTCAACCAACAATTCTGATTATTATTTTCTTGAAATCCCTGCAGGGGAAATCTTTTGTAGCAATCAAAGCTTTGTTATTGCTGCAAATACATCTATCCAAGCAGATTACTTTTTAGACAATGGTGAAGAAAATCCAACAATTAAACATCTTGATGATCCTTTTGCAATAATTCAATCTGAAAATGGCCATAACATTATTTCGAAAATATCCGCAAAAGATCCTTCTGAAACGTTCCTTATTCAAATAATCAAAATTACCAGATCTAATATTAATGAAAGAGAGTTATTCTACTCAGTGTTTTCTACTAACCTGTTTTTCTGCCAAAAATTCATTCCTTTACGGCTCACAGATTCCAATTCCACACTATTATTACGAAGATGGATGGAAATCAAAGCTTTTAATGGATATGAAATCAAGCCGAAAATGGGCAATTTTTCTAGCGAAACAGCCATACTAACAACAACGCTAAGCTGCAATGATACAACTAAGAGGAGAAGTATTTATTTTGCATATTATTCAGAAAATCATACTTTAGCACCAATTTTGTTCAAAAAAGATAAATTCTATTTGATGCCATCAGAATCTGGTGTTTATTCACGTGCAGAAGTAGAGTCATTCACTGAAATGAATCCTCCATTTCATAATGAATATAAATTCGATCAGTATGATTTAACAGATGAGTTTCTTCCATGTCTGAACAATATATGGAGTCCAGAGTTTGCCCACCACGATATCGGATTAAAATATACAGACTCAAAAGTCTTTACAATTCAACCAGGCAAAGCACAGTGTTTATACGGCAATTTTGTGTTTGGAAGCAAAGAAGATTTCACAGCAACTGTTGTTTATAATGATACAAAGCACTATGAATTAAACAATAGACCAAAGGTCCCTCGCACAGTTCATGAGACATATGAAAATCCATTTAGCATTACAACACAAATACACGATCAAAGACAAAGTCAGTTAATCAAATTACAATGCAAATCTCAAACAGAATCATGCAAAATACAAGTTGTGAGTGTTATGCCTCCTATTCAAAACAGACTGTTAAACGCACCAATGAAAATAGAATCAACATTCACAACAAATACAAGCTATTTTGCTGAAAAAGAAATTATTATAGAAGATACTAGAATAGAAATATTTTCAATTACAGTGCACAACAAAAACAAATTCGGTATCAAGATAAGTTGTGATGATAAGAGAATACAGAATTATCTGACAACATCGAACTCCTTTGTGAAAAACTTCACATCAAATGAGAGTATATATAACACAGTTACTATATATCCATATTTTGATCTACACAGATTCCTTAATCAAGAAGAAAATATTTCAACATTCAAAGTAAAAACTAATGTCAAAGTTGAAATCATCCCATCAGAAGAAAATTCCACTGGAGAGAAGAAATTATAGAAGATGCAATAACTTTTAGATTGCCTTCAAAAGGTGGTGGGAGTACAAAGGAAGAACTAATAGAATTTAATAAGAAAGAAGATAAATTATTTGAGGGATATTCTAATTTCTTTCTTTATGGTTCAATCGGTGTTTCAGTACTGATTGTTATTCTTGATATTTTATTTATTGTATGGAGAAACTTGGCAAACAAAAAGAGATCAACTCAAAATGAAAAGAATAAGAGAAATTCAGATGAAGAATTAGAAGTAATATACCCTGAACTTGACGGTATTATCTAAATAAACAAGATAATATGATGTTTGAAATAAATGAATGTAACTAATATAAGTCATCCAAATCAGATAAAACTTTTCAGTTTTTATAAAACATTTTTGAATCAATCAACATATTTATTTTTCTTTTTGAACGTTTGATCTCTAAAGTTTATGATTTAACAATTTAAACAAAATCCTGTTGATTGGATGTAAATTAAGCATTTTATAAGATTAGTCAAAATTATCGTTGTCACTTTTGTATTTTTTTGACTAATATTCCGATTCTTGACCAAGATTGGAATATGTAGAACTAATTTTGTAATTCTATCAATCTTCACCAAGAATTCCAAAATCGTGCAAAAATTGAAAACCGTTACACTTATTCAATCTCCCCCCTATATTGTTAAAATGGGAGTTTTAAGTTATCTAAGAACCGTTCTTTCAATCATCACATTTCTCCAAAACATGGGATCCACTATTGGATTCTCTTTTTTCGATCTTCATCCCACGCTCAAAAAATGGGGATCAGCACTCAAAATTTTATCAGTATGATAGAGAATCCAGTCCTTGGATATATAAATGCGCATGATTTCAGAGCGTTTCTAACAGATTTTGTAATGGTGATATCCGGATTCTCTTTAGGTTTAAGTTTCATTGTTGGATTGGATTCAAATAAATCATTTTGGAGGATTGTAATATGCATATGTTCGTGTCTACCAACGTTTTTCTCTTTGTTCTATGAATGGGAGTTTTATTATCAAGTAATTACGGCATTTACAACGCCACTTATTTTTTTCGCATTAAGGGTGCCCTATAGACGATAGACCACCCTCAGAAAAGCACTTTTAAGGCTATTATATTGAGAACTAGAATCCGGATAATCCATTCATTCGAGTTCTAATAAGGTTATTTTTATGATGTTTACATTATCGTTATAGGGCACCCTTAAGAATGGCATTATCCAAATATTTGGGAAACCCTTTGGAAGATTATTTATGTAATTGTAAAAGGAAATCCCAAGATAATGAAGCTGAATCTAAAGATAGCAAAAAGAAATCCAGGAAACTAACAATCGAAAATATTCAAGAAAGGAACTATGAATATCAAAGAGAACTTTTAACCAAAGAACCTGATAGAAATTTTGTTCTCAATGCATTGGAAGAAAATTTGCATATAAAGGAGCCACATAATATAATGGATAAACTTAAGATGCTCTTTTCTATTGTTGTGCTCTGTTTCGCTTTCTTTAACCCCACCAAGTCGAGTGTGTTGTTTATTTGTTTTTTAATGGGATTTATGTTGTTTCTATTTGGTATTTTTGGATCATGCAAGCTAACTAGGGCAGCTAAAATCACAAACAAAATTGGATTTAATAGAATCTTTCTGTTGCTTTTCACATATGCTTTGAATGCGTTATACATTCCAATTTTAGATTATTTCATAAAAATTGTATATAATACAGGAGTTACGTGTCCAGAAGGTTATTATTGGGGAGTTTATAGAGGTAAAGATACATTTCTTAAAGCAGATGGCCATTGCATTCCATGTGGATACACATTAAAGCAAAAATATCCAGGGATTGAAAGTTTTTTGAATGACTTCGTACAACCTAATTCAAATAACTTTACTTATTCTTTATTTACAAAATTTTTATCAGACAATCCTGGAATTTTAAATGAAACATATGATGCTTTAAATTATACCATGGACGGATTAAATGAATCATCTAATATGTGTCCTCATTTATGTTCAGGAAGCTTTATTCGTATTATGAAAGATCAGACATCGATTTACTTTGATTTTGAAACAAAGAGATATTTTATGTTTTTTATCTGTTGGGTGATTGCATTTGTTTTGTTGGTAATCCCTGTATTATATTATTTATTGATATACAGAGCAAGAAAAGAATTCAAAACACTTGTGGCATATGGAGATAACAAGGATGATCGTTGGGAGTGTTTATTGGAAAGAGTTGAAACTGTTGGTGTTACTCATCTCAAAGACTACAATTATAGTAATCCATATTTTGCAGTCTTCAAAATCGTATACAATTTTTTGGTTTTACTTGTAACAACATTAGCAAATCTAGCACATCCACACATTATTACATGTCTTCCAATAGTTCATATAACTATGATTGTGTTCCTAACGTTGAGGAAGCCATATTTATCAAAATGGAACAATTATTCTGAAATAGCATTAAGTGTTCTTAACTTAATTATAGGAATCTTAGCTTCAGTTAATCTTTTCAGTGATGTTAACCAGGTATTCAACACAGTAATTGTCTTAATAGCAGATTTCCTTGGTGTTGCATCAGAAATTGGTTCGGCTATTATCGAAAGTTATGAAAAATCAAAAATTACTGACCCAACTATAATGAATGAAAAAGAAATACAAGAGTTCCATCCATTAATATTTGATGAAGATGAAGAGCAAGGAATTTTAGAGCCATTAATAAATGAAGAAGAAGATAGCGAAGATTGTTTGTGCGGATGCTTGAGAGAAAGAAAAGTGCCTAAATTAATGCAATACGAACCAGATAATAGACCGGAAATATCGCTGAAAGACTTGAACCCCGTTGAATCTGGTGTTCAATTATTTAATGATGCCCAACCAGAGAGAAGTGGAGAAATAAGAAAAAGGTTACAAAATCTTTATATTTTCTACGATATATTGATTGATGGAGCTGAATTATCAATTCTAACACGATTCTTAAGACTTTTGGGTGTTTTTGGTCTTGCTGTGTCTACACCTATTATCAATGTGAAATCGGTTCGCTTTTCATGCATTAATTATGGAAGTTGGTTTTAATTCAATCAATATTCCAAAACATATTAATAAAGCTTTTTAATTTTATGTATTCGGTAATTTTTTAAGGCTACACTTACGCCCATCTGACTTTTATACAAATATCTGACAACTGCCGTGAAGCGTAATTGAAAAATAACCTTAAAGATCCGAATTGAAAGTCATGTCATACGGGCGTAAATGGATCCTATAAAAAGTGGTAATCCAAACTTTAAATCATTTTCACCGTGCCTGTTTTTCAATTTATTTGCGAGATATAAGGATTTTTTTAAGTGTAGATTTATGCCTGTTTAGCGTGTTATTCAATTCTGCTGTTTAAGGTTGATTTTCAATAATTCTTCATACCTATTGTTGAGCTTCAAGAATTATTATCTGTTGCTTATCAATATATTACTTCGGCCTCAGTCATTTTTATTGAAAAAGGAGCAATTTTATTTTATTTTTTTTTTGAAATCATAAAAATATTTATGAGAAAAATTTGAGGCCGAAGGGAGTCGAACCCCCAACCTTGAGATCTGGAGTCTCACGCAATGCCATTATGCTACAGCCCCTTTACAATTTTTTAAAAATTGTTTAATCTATAATCAAAATAATTTTCCACCCTTAAAATTGAATCAAATTCACCTCCTAAATCAATCACATTCCAAATGTCATTGATTTCGGAAGTTAATTCAATTTTTTTTTCATTTATTTCATCCTTATCATTTTGATTCTATTACAAATATCATTCAATTAAATCAGAATTTAGCAATATTTCGATCTAATATTCAGATGTTTCGATTAATTCTTTTATCCGCTATATTTTCTATGCTTTATATTTACACGATTCGAAATCAAACAACAGATGTAAAAATCCATAAATATACTTTATACATTTTGGATGTTTTAGTCTCAGAGCATAACATTTCCCGATTTTATGAAGAATATTATAGCTGGATCAGAAATTTACTCAAAGATTACAAAAATATTATCTTAAAAGTTGGAGCTACTTATGAGGTTGCAAAATTTCATACAATACTATATAATCATTCAAACGTACCACACATATTCTTTGGGCGTCAGAGAACGTTCGACTACATATATCCTTTTATTAATGGACTAGAAGACTTTCTTAACAATACTGATTTCAGATGGTTCCTTCGGACCACAGATGATGTTTTTATAAATCTTGAAAAATTGGATTCATTTCTTGACGATCTAGAAGATAAATTTGATCCACTAAGTGACTATATAGTTAGAGGATCGTTAGCAGGTGTAAGTGATCAGATATTTCTTCATGGAGGCCCGGGATGGTTAATGTCAAGATTTGCAGCACAAAAATATCTTGAAGACTACAGACTTAATCCTCCGCAAGTAGAGAGGACAGGTGATGACGTCGTTTCTTCGAAATACTTTCGAGGAAAGATTGAAGATTATGATTGTCCCCAGTTTTATGCTAGTCCATTAAATGTTGAATCCTTAGAACTTATAAATAGAAATTCAGACGATTTCCCTCCATGTCTATCTAATTCATGCAAATATCCTGCAAATTTAATCGCTGTTTGGCATTCTGGAGAACCACTGATGGAAATAGTCAAAGAAGGCCCAAGATTGCAATTTGCTGACGATATATGTCTTGAAAGTGAAAATTCGGGCAGATCTTATTTATGCAAACTTAATAATGAAACAATCTAGTCATACACATGCATTTCTAATATATTTTAAATAGTATATAGTAAACTTATAGAATATTGATTTGAAATTTTCTGTTTAAATAATCTTTTCAAATGATTTTACCATACAACATTAAGTATAACATATTCCGGCAGCATTTCTAACTTTTAAAATTTCATTTTGAGAAATGGGAATTCTTCGATTTTTAGCACCATCCAAGTTATTGATGGGATCACTCATTCTTATGGCCTTAACTTTCTGTTATTCTTGGGCCCAAATATATTTAAGAGACAAAACACTTGATTTTAAAAATATATTTCCAATAAATCAAACTCTTGATGCAAAATTATATTTCTCAACCTCGAAAAGAGACTTACTAGATAAGGTGATTTGGAAAAATCAATCAATACATTATTTGAAGAATAATAAATTAAGCGAGAAATTTACTTTGACAATACCACAAGGAATTGCAAAAAATACATCACTAGGATACTTGACATTACAAATCCATGCAGTAGTAAATAAACAACATATATTTCTTCGAGAAAATACAAATTTAATTCATTGGAGGCGAACAAAGGATAGATCAACCAAAAAGCTCATTGGTGGTGAATCCAATGTAAGCACAAATACTTATTCCTGGAAACCTTATGTTTATCAAAAATATAGATTTGACTTAGTTTACTTTGAATTCTTGAATCCAAAATTGGGAATCGCTGATGTCTTTTCTCTTTCCCAATATCCTCAAGTTGCAAGGACTGCACTCAAATATGACAAATTTTTCAATATTCCATCAGAGGAACGACTTCTAAACACTACACTAGATCATAACACAACACTTACATTAGAAATAAATATGCCACATAACTTCTGGTGGCAAATTAAATATAATTATGATATTGCTTGGCTTCAAATGCTAGATATATTAGGTGATGATATCTCTCATATGCTTAAATATTCGATGAACAAAATAAAACGAATAATACTGGAAACTCCTTTATATATTTTAGTATTTACAGCTGTTTGCACAATTTTGCATTCAATTTTCCAGTACATGGCATTTGAACATGATATAAAGTTCTGGGCCAAGCGTAAAAACTTCCATGGTGTCTCAATGGGAACAGTTTTAAATAATTTCCTTTCAGACCTCATTATTTTGCTGTATTCAATAGACACTGACACAGGAAATTTCCTGAGATTCACATATACTATCCAATGCTTCACAGGATTCTGGAAATTGTCAAAATTAGTTGATTTCTCTTTCAAACCACCATTTATCTCAATCAAAGCAGCCTACAGAGGTAAAGAAAATGATGCTGATAGAACAGGCCTCAAATATTGTTACATTGTCGTTACTCCTATCATTATTGGCTATTGCATCTACGAATTGTTCACGCAAGAGTTCACAAACATCAAGAGCTATATCATTCATTCACTTGCAGCAGCAATTTATTCTTACGGCTTCCTCGGAATGATTCCACAACTTTATGTGAACTACAAACTGAAAACTGTTGCTGGAATGAGTAAGGCTGCTTTCATTTATAAGTCTCTCAACACGTTTATTGATGATATTTACACATTTGTTGAGAAAATGCCTCTTATGATGAAAATTGCTTGTTTTAGAGACGATATTATCTTCTTTGTCTGGCTTTATCAGTGCATGATATACAGAACTGATCCAACTCGTATTAATGAGTTCAATATGCAACAAAAAGAAGAAGAGGAAGAAAATTCAGAAAATGAAATTCAAGAAGAGCAAAAGGAAGTCAAAACAAACGATGAAAGTCACGAAGGGCAAGAAAAAGATCGTGAGAATGAAGAAAAACATGAAGAAGGAAAAATTGAATAATTTTTCAAAAAAATTCTAATATTCTTCGGCTATTTACATTCATATTAGATAGTTATCTATTATATAAGCAATATATCTGTATAATAAAGAACTTTATTGTGAATATATAAATTTCATTATTTTTATTTCGCGAATAGTTTCAGGATGTGAAATACTTATGAATGGTGCACTAAGTACTGACTACCTTGTGCCGTTGATCCCTTTAACTCATATGATTTCAAAATTGCGAATGGAAAAGAAAAAAAAATATTTTAGATGAAAGGTACATTCACTAGGCGATAACAGTAAAATGGGATGAAAATAGGATAAATAGCATCCCTATATAGTGCCTAACAATATTTATACGGGCCAAAAAAATTTGGCTAAAGATTTGGCGAGTTATAAAACTTAGAAAATTGAGAGGGATTTTTATTTTTGAATTTTTTTGGAAAGTTAAAATTGCGATTAAAAATCGATTTCCAGGAGAACTAAGCATCTCATCATATATTTAAATCGATAAAAATATTAAATAATAGTTGAATAGTATAACAACATGAAATTATGGCTGAATCTACAGAAAAAATGAACATATTTGACATTTTTGAAAATTCATACGTTAGATGGTGACAGACTCATAAACTATACTTTAGCTAAGATTGATATATGATTTCAACAACACATGGTTAAAATCGTAAAAATATTTTAGATTTCAAAAAGATATATATGGTAATATAATGGAACAAAGTCAACAAATAGCATGTTAAATATGTTATAATTAACTTTTTATTAGATCCAATAGTAGATATCGAATGGTTTCCAGCTTTATGGTTAAATATTTTCTTTTCGAGCTTCTCTTTAACTGTTGTATTAAGGTTGTAAATTTTTGATGCTAGAAACTATGGAATCTTCTTTGCTGCTGCATTTTTCTTGAGAGTTCTTGCAATTTCGAATATATCTGCGCATTGTATGAAATGGGGGCTTTAAAATATCTTGAATCATAATAGGACTGCTTTTCCAAAGGAATGCTTATTTGTAAATCAGAGAGTTTCAAAATTGAGTGCAAGATTATCATCATAACTTTTGATTTTGCTGCGAAAAAGGAAGACAAGTAATTAACAAATCATTTACTGTTGTTCATCAAAAGAAGAAAACTTTGATAACAACCAATGATGATAAAATCAAGCTATCTTTTAATATTTTAAATTGATAAGACATTCAAAATATTTGAATGGTTTAAAATATTTTCTTTTAATTTCTATAAGATATTATCATGATTATATAATAAAATTTAAATTTTTATTCAAAAAGGCAATATTTCAAACTTTTAATTTCAAAAATCTTAATTCTGCAATAAGTGTATTTAATTGTAGCAAATTTAATGATCCCTCGTCATGCTTAGCAATTTGGAACTCATAAATTAATGATTTCTTCAAGTAAAATTCTGCATTATTTCAAAAGTCAATAATTCTCTAGTAACTTTTCTTCAAACCCTAACCATTATATTATATGTATAATGGAGAATAATTGCAAAGAAAGATAGCCGAATTTACTGGGTAGTTCTTGTGATGCGAAATAATTGCAAATTAACACCTAGTTTTAACAGCATCAATCTCTTTTTGCTCTCATTTAAATGCATTCGCACACTTTAATTTTGAAATATAAGATTTTTGGAAATTATCAAATTTATCTGCTCAAATACTATAGATCTTCATAAGTGTTAATAGAATCATTAGCCTTACATATAGTGTTTAATATAATGATGCACATTATACTGGGATTCATTCCTTATTCATCTAGTTATTATAAGATTTACAACCCCATGAAAATTTAAAATTTTGTCAAAAATAGTGAATGTACCTTTTTTAGATGACAATTTATAGTTTATCTCATAAGCATGCTAAATTCACTTTTAAAAAGACACCAATTAGCATAAATGGAAAAAACTGACAACTTCTGAAAAACCGAAATTTATTTGATTCATCTTTTATTAATGTTTCCCTTATTTCTAATTGCTGGACCAATCACAGATGAAGGCTTTTATAAGCTAAATATCAACAAAGATAAAAACATCACTCTACTAACCTCCCAATACGACGTTTTTATTTTATCTTCAAATCAAATGACTGAAAGTCTTAACTTTGCAGTGATAAATAGCGATAATTCCACATCAATAGTTGATTCAAAAGATCACAATATTGCAACTTCAATCAGAATTCAAAAAACAAACGTCACATTATTTTCAAAAGACGAAAATACGCTTGACATATTCATTTTAAAAGATGGACAATGCAGTGATACAACATTACTTGCTCAGTCATCTTCTCATTTCAGCTTTTCATTGAGTTCATCATCTGATAACAATATCTGTGTTTTTCCATATCAATTCCCATCATCTTTGAACATATCGATTGAAGGAAACTATACGATTTATTCAGGTGACAATTCCACTCACAATTTAACTAAAAATACACAAACAAGTGATCTCTTGTTAAACGGCAGCTGCTACGTTAACTTAAGTGGAAATACAATATCTATGAATAGCACCAGCAGCCTCCCAGCAGGCGAAGATTCTGATTGCGCGGCTGTTTTGTTCAAAATTCTCTCTGGAACAACCGTAACGACACCTTCTAGCATTCCTTCATATACAATGAGCTGCGAGCATAGCAACTTCAAGGTTGAACAGCAACAAGCTGCTAAACCACCGTGGGTTGTCATTATTCTCCTTATTCTCCTTATCTGCTTCTGCATTGCATCTGGAATATACTCTTGCACCCACAAAAACAACAGCCAACTCAAATAATTTTATTTTTATTTTATTTTGTCGAAAATTCGGAAACATATTCATCATTACTAAGAAATCATGATGAATTATAATGTTTTATATTTTTATTTCCTAAGCTTAACCGTTAACTATTTGATTATTTTTTATCATTAAAGAATTTCATTGAGTTCTTGAATCTATTGAGAAAAAAATGCATTAATGGTTTACATCGATTCGATGAACATGATAATTATACTAAAGTTCCAAATTAAATATATTTCAAGCGCTTGAAATGATGCGCATCATTAGATTTGGAAAAGATTATCTTTATACCTTGCATTAAAATTTATTAATTCGATAAGCTTCACCAACGATAAGTGAAATAAAAAAATATTAAAAAAATAAAGTTCATAGGAATTGTAAAATTTCAATATAAAAAAAGTTTAAAATTCGCAGTCTTCGAAGATGGAATATAATTCCTTGAAGTTGACATTTCCATCCTTATCTGCATCAATCTCCTTTAATTGAGACTGAGCTTCTTCCTTTGTTACTGGCTCGCCAACGAGGGAAGCAAAGTGGATCATTTCGTTAAGGTCAATAAGGCCATTGTGGTTCTTATCAACTTTTTCGAAAACTTTCTTGAAAAGTTCTTCTTTGTTTCCTGTAAGCTTAAGCTTATAGTAGGCAATGAATTCGTCGACTGTAATCTTTTCATCGCCATTTGTATCGAAGGCGACGATAGCTGCTGGGCATGTTGTTGAATCCCAGTCGAGTTCTCTGCATAAATTCTTTAATTCTTCGGTGTTGAGGTTGCCATCCTTATCTGTGTCCATTTGAGCGAAAATATTCTTGGCTTTGGCGATATTAGCATCCATTGCTTAAGAAATGAAGTCAATTTTACATCCTATCAAAACTTCACGTAATTTTGAATCATAGGATATCTCCATTACAATTTGATGTACATTAATATTTTACAAGAAAAAGCAAGAGATCAATTTGACACTTTTCAATCAAATAAAAAAAATCTTTTTTCTCCGCTCCAAAACCTTATTAAATGTCGCTTTTATATCAACTATTTATCATCTCCGCACGAAACTTATTGGATAAATCGAATTTTCCCAAAACTTTGTTGTTTTTTGAATCCATTACGAGTACATAAAGAATTGCTACATTTATGGTAGTATATGAGAAGGACTCTCCAATATATCAAATATTGTTCTCTTGATTAAATATAAAAAATACGATCGTTTGTGAAAAAAATCAAATAATAGCATAAAAAATCTCAATTTTCTCTAGTATTGGAGCCTAATTTAGCATGAGATATCATATTTTGATGCAGATATTCTGCTTATCTGCAACTTTATATGAGATATATATGTTTGGCTTGCATGGACAAAGGAATTTTTATATTTTATGAAAATATTGCATAAATATTGGCTAAAAATTACTCTATCATGAGAAGTTTTTTAAAAAAATTACAAAAACAAATCTTAAATTTACTCAAACAATAGATGAAAGTATTTTTAATTAAAACAAATATATATAAATAACAAATTAAAGTATAGCTGGTGTAATAGATAAATGTCCCTTTGCGTCAACAGTTACGAAAGCAGATTTAAGCTGGTTATAAGTTGCGAACACTAAATCCTTTACACTGAAAATAGCTGTTTTCATGTTTTCAGGGAACATTGCTTCGAAGAAAACCAATTTTCCAGATGCATCTTCTGCACAGATATAATCTGTGTCCACAAGATCAGAGAATGTGAAGACAGATTGAAGCGGTGTATCTATCTTCGCTCTTTTAATTTCATCTCCATCGATTGATAAAACCAAAATTTCGCTGTCGCCAGTGCAAATGACGAAAGCCGAATTATTTGTTATTATCAAATGACGAGGCTGACAAGACAAAGATGATTTTCCAACGAATCTTCCGTCAACTAATGAATGAACTTCCACAGTTCCATCATCCAAAGCGACAGCAAATATTTTCGCGTGTTCATGAGCTTTCAACAATTTAATTCTTTGTGTAGAATTATACAAAGTTATTGGCTGCAATTTCCTTGTTCTATCTGCTGCGTATTGGACTGTGCAACAATCCTGTGTATAAATAAATGACTTGTCGCAATAGTCAATGATAGAAACATCGATAAACAAGTTGTGTTCGACTTCCAAATTCGTTTCCTTGAATATGGAGATCTTCTTGTTTTCAGGCGAATATCTTGCAATTCCTTTATTGTTGTGGGAATAAGAACAGTTCAAATCTTTGTTTAATGACATTAATTTGCTGGATTTCTTCTCATGGAACTCGGATTGGAATCCAAATGAATAAACAAAGATATCTCCATCTTCAAGGAACAACATAAATGAGTAATGCATTGGATTCTTCGTTTTAAGTGTCGCACAGTACAAAATATCTTTTTCAACCTTGATATTATAAGAAATATTCTTCGCTTTCTCAACTTTAAGAAGCTGTGAAGGTTGATGTGGTTTGCGGAAGATCTGTCTGTGTCCAAACGATGAATTTCCTTTAACTCCCCAAATGTTGTCGATGAATTTAGGAATAAGCGCTCTTATTTTCGCAGATTCAAGAGCTTTTCTATGTTTGTAAATGAAGTCAAACGAATTCACGTTATCTGATTGACAAACAACAGATTGCAAGTAAAAGAATTCAGGAGGAATGCAGCCGTTCTTGCAAACAGATTCTTCCAAACTCACAGGATTCTTTGGCTGTGTTCTAAGGACTCTTTCAAGCGATGGCTCGTTGTAAGTGCATTTCGTAATATCTCGTGCAGAGAAATTACTCAAAGAGTTAAGAACACTTGGAAATACAGGATAAAGGTTTTTGTCGTTGAATGATCTCCCACTCAAAATGTTGAGTTTCATGAGATACTCGAAATTCGACAAAACTCCTCTTGACCAATCCATCGTCAAAGGGAATGACATGAACAATTCAGCAGAAGGCATTGACTGCACGAATTGTCCTGATCCCATGTATTTCATGAAATTCTTGACGAATGATGATGAATCAGTTGGATTCAGATCAATTAAATATGATCTTCCATCGGAAATGTAGAATTCAACAGCTGTTTCGCTTTTAGAACGCTTTCTTGTCAACAAAACTCTGATCATTTGTATTGTGAAAGCTTTTACGAAAGAAGATCCAACTAAATAGACGCAATCTCTCATAATTCTCAACGAGATTTCCCTTGAATTCTTTTTGGAAATCAATGAACAAGTTTGGATATAAACCAAATCTGTTTCAGGTGCAACTGGCTGTTTCTTTTTGATCATTAATGGATATTTCAGCTTCATTGCACAGTAGTTCATGCATGTCTTCTTATCTCTAACCCTTTCATTTTCTTCCAAATTCTGTGATTTCATTTTTTGCGGCTTTTCCATTTCGTGCTGAATCAAACCGAAAACATTGTCTGCCAAAGAAGGAAACGCTTGTGTATCAGTTATTAACTGTTTCGTCTTCTTCAGGATATCTCTGAACTCATTAGAAAACTCTGTAAATGTCGATTTGAATCGATTTTCGTATTCTTTGTGGAATTTTTCGAAAAATTCAAGAGAATTATGAGTAAATTCTATTTTCGGCTCTTGACTTAATTTCGAATCATCAATGAACAACAACAAATAGTTCTTTAACTTCTCATTCTTATACAAATCATAGCTAATCTGTGCAATTAATTTCTGCGACCAAATACCCGTGTCACTTTTTAGATCAATGAAAAAGTTGATTGACATTTGAGAGATATCGTAACACATCAAGTGTTCCAAGTGTGTTACATTACTCAATTCATTCTGGTAAGGAGAGTCCTGACTTTGGTAAATGTTGAAGTCTTTAAATGGACTTTCACTGAACTTTTGCAACAAATAAAAATTATGAGTAAAATTAGTGAAATGGAAAATAGAAGAAGTGAAACAAATATCAGCAATATAAGTAGTAAATGTATCATCAAAGTATTCTTTGTAATATCCCAAAGATATAAAGAAACTCTCCAAAAACTTCTGAGAGCTGTAAGGAGTCAAAACTCCCAAAAACCTTGCGAAATTAACAATGTCATTAAGTTCTTTGTTTCTGCTTGGTGATCGAGACAAAACATAAGCAATGAAATTACTGAAAACATCAATTACATCTTCTTTCTGTATTGCTGCAATTAATATCCAAATAAACCATTGTTTTTGCGTCTTTATTTGCTTCCTTTCGTTTATCCAATTCTGAAGAATTTCTGCCAAAGGTTTCATATCAACATTTCCTTTCAACATGAAAATAATCAACAAAAGATATAAGTTCTCGTACTTCTGGAGATCATTAAACAGTCTATTCAACAACTCTGATGTGTCAATTTGTATCTGCAAAGCCGAAGATAACAAAAATTGACTTAATTTATCTCCAGATAAATTGTAAATCACCAAAACAGCGAGTTCAACAATATCTATGTCTTTCGACTTCAAGAAATAAGCTAAACACGAAGCATCGTAGTCAGGAAGTTTGACAATGGCCGGACAAATGTCTAAAACAAGTTTAAGAAGCTGTAAAACTGTTCCTTTGTTATCTCTCGAACTAGAAATGTAATAGAACAAAAGATTCAAATCATTCTTAGTTATATTCACGTATGCCAAGCGTTTGATAAGCAAAACGAAAAGATCTTGACATGTTTTGAGGTTTTCTTTTGAAAAAGTATCAAAGATTGTTTGTCCAAGACGATGTTCGTGATTTCCTCTTGCATCGAAACAGAAGAAGAGTTTGTACTGTGCCATATATGTCTTAAACAAGTTTTTCTTCTTCTTTATCTCATTTGTTGAGAAAGGAATGACAATTTTGATCCAATGATTCAAAATAAAAATGAAATTGTCACTTTTTGATTGATTCCAAAGCCATGTGTTCAAAATCAAAGAAAACAACCATTCTGATCTGAGACTTCCATCAGTTAAACTAGTACAGAATAAGTTCCACATGGCTTTGTAAAGTTCTACAGTCAAAAGTGAAGTGTTCTTAAAAAGTGACGCCAAAATATTTGGTACAGATCTAAACAATCTTTGTGATAAAGAACTTGCCTTGAAAATTGTTGACAAGACTTCTATGACTGTTAAAGTGTTGTCTACGGAATGGTCTTGGTATTCGAAGAACTTGCAGATGGTTGCAGTGTTGTTCGCTCTTGCCAAACTCTCCAATAAAGTGTAAGGAACTTTTTGACAATAGTTTATTTTCGTGTTTACAATTTGGTCATCAACTTTTATTTCTTTGGCTTTGAGGACTTCATTTAAGTCGATTATCTTATTCAGACGTGTTGCTTGTATCAAATCATCTGAATATCCTTGGTACAAAACAATATCTGATAAATAACCACAAGAATAACTAGAACCGCCGTCGCAAACAGCCAAAATTGGATTTTCAATGAAAGAATATCCAACGAAATCAGATTCATTCAAGTGTTCTTGGTTAGAAATGGGATGGAATCTTATTGGCTTTGATTTCATGTTGACTCCAATTTGGACAGTATTCCACTTTCCCGGATAAAAGCTTCTGTTCACTAAAACAACTCTTACTTTTGCTTGGTTTTCGTTGTGTAACATTGCGTAAATTGTTTTCTGTGACAAATAAAAAGAAAAAGTGGAATTAGGTATAGAGAAATTGAATAAATTGACTTCTTCAGTGCTCAAATTAGATGTCAATGGATCAATATATATCTTGAACGATAAAGTAAAACCGTCATTTAAAAGTGACATTGGAATTTTTGCTTCAAAAGGCGGTGGAGTCAAACCAATTGTAAATTTCTTTGATATCTGGTTCCGCATCAAATGTAATTCAGATAATAAATCATTTGATAAACAACCACCTTTTGAAATGTGAAGTGAAATCAAATTGGCTATTTGATTGTTACTTTTTGATCTAAAAATAGAGAACATCAATGGTTTTGCTATTTCAGACCATGTTTCAGCATCAATTTCTAAAATAAAATTGATTTTGCCAAAAGTGATTGTCACTTTTCTGTCACTTTTATCGATCACCTCATTTATGTACAGCATGCAAATTATATCTATTCCGCCTTCATGCAGCATTGATTTATTGTACTCAGAATCCTGCGAAATCAAAGAAAATTTTGTAAATAATTCTGCCACTTTTTTAGAATTAATTCCAACAGCAGCGACCAAATACGGCAAAAACTGAGGAACTCTGATCAGAAAGATGTTTGTTGCGCACGTTCCTTCTGTTAAAATAGAATATAATATAGAGAAACTCTCATTAGAGCATCCATCTTCATCAATTCCATGAACAACAGAAATTATTTTCATAATAAATTCAGAATTTTCCAAAATTTTTTTGTTGACTCTGACAATCAAAGAAAAGAAACGTAAGAAATTACTTAAAACACTCTTGTTCTTGCTCTTCGACAAATAAACAAATAAAGAATATAAACAAGGCTCGAATTGCATTGCAATCTTTTCATGTATGCTCTGAGATAAACATTCAGTGATGTAATAAGCCAAAAGTGATGATCTCTCGTTGTTTGGATCATTGGAACACATCTGACATGCTTCTGAAAATGAATTCGCAACTCCAGAAACATTTATTTCTGTGTTTATTTGGCTCAATGAGTCCCTCAACGCTCTGACAGTGTATTTCGTCAATTCTACCTCGTACATGTTGTTGGAGAAGGCGGAGTTGAAGGAAGAAAGCTCAAGACACCTGATAAATGTGTATTCTGAGTAAAGTGGCCATAAAAGAAAAGAAAAAATTGCAATTTGAGATCTAATTGACTCAATATTCTTAGATAAGCCTCGTAAATTAACAAACACGGAGTTGATCTTCATAAGTAATGCATCTTCTACAAATAAACTGGGTAAAAATCCGCAAATCTGACATCTGATCAAATTCTCTGCGAAAAGTATTGGATATTTGCTGTCGAAGGCTGTGAGTATTAATTCTGGACTGATCATACGTATATCTTCGAAGAAAAGCCTTCTCAATGCGAGAATTTCTTTTCTGACAGGAATTTCGCTGAAAATAGTCTCTTCTGGATTAAATATCTTCGATGTAATGACTCTGGGTATAACCCCTGTTAGAATGGCCGGAGTTGCCGTCGCTTTCAAGATTACAAAAAATGAGTTAAATAATTCAATCAAAAATTCAAATTGGTGAACAGTAGCAAGAAGATTCAACATACTCTGGAAGAAAACATCACGCATTTCTGGTGTTGCGTGAAAAAGAGCTTCAGAAATTTCAATTGATTTTTGATAGACTTGTGAACAGATTGTGACGACATAATCAAGGTCATCGTAAGGTGGTTGTTTCAGTTCATCGAAAAGAGACTTCTTAAGTTCATCAGAGTATTCGATTTTTTCGATATTTTGTTTTTCGATTTGGTAAGGAGCATTTTGCGGAGTATTAGTAACTGTATAAGCAAAGAAGACTGATGGTAGTAAAACGAAAGAGTCATTTAAAATTTTGCATTCAGAAAAATTCGAAATTCGGCAAACCGCTGAAAAAGCTTTAAGATTCATACTTGCTATTTCTTGTTGTAATACGATAACTAGAGATGACAAGTCTGGTCCATATAATATGTTGAATTTTTTGACAGTCATGTGTTCTATGAGATCAATCATTTCAGTTATGAGAGGTGGATTCCCTGAGCCTGATACCATTCGAAAAATTAATACCATCGTTGGAAAGTATTGAGGTGTTGGAAATTTATTTAAATAAATAAGGTTGAAAATTAATTTCACGACGTTATCATTGTATTTTCTATTTACCTCTTGAAAGTATTTTGTGCAGATTAATTGAAATATTTGGCAATTCATATTTTCGTGTTCAGGATATTTAATATTCGAAAAAATAGTTAAAAGATTGCAAATTTGTATAGGATCTTGAGTTGCAGTAAATGTTTGATACCAGCCTAGTGATAAATATTGGAAAATAATAGAGTACATTTCGGTATTTTGAAATGAATTAAAGTCTGGGCTTATTACTGAGAATAAAGTTTCGGCAGAAAACTCTGCTTTAAGTGGGGCGAGTTCAAAAATGTTATCGAGAGATTCTATTTGTTGTGTATCTTCAGAGAATCTAATTAACTTTTGCTTGTCAACAACTGGAATAGATCTAATTATTGCCAAGCATCTTTCTGACTCTGGATCTTTTGATGTCGGAATATTGTTTCTATAATTAATTAGATTTAAAATAGGATTCTCTTTCATTTTCTGAGAAAAAGTGACGTCTGATCTGGAATCAGTGTAAGTATTAGAATTCTCTATACTACTGGTTGCTGTGCATAAGAATCACGGAAACAGGTGCAAACATGCATAAATCTTTAATTTCAAGATTAGAAAAAAGTTAATTTATGCTTTATAGGGTTTTGATTAATACGAAACTTTTTATTTGTACTTTTAAAGCACAAAAATACTATGAAATTTATAACTCTTGATCAATATAAATCTTCCGATAATCATAATGGTGTCCGATCTATATTCAGTTCTGGATGATCAACTCAATGTAATGTTAATTATTAAATTTGAATAGCCTATTCGTATATTATAAAACATTTTGTATTTTTCTTTCAAGATTAAGCTGAAACGGTATGTAAAAGAAATAGTATTGGTGTTATGTATATCATTCTCAAACCTTAAATCGGAAGTTCAATTTATCTTCAAAATTTATTATGAAAATTGGACAAAATGATTAGGTAAAAGTTTGATTGTATGATTTTATAAAGACAGTTTAAATATAACAAAGAGAATATTAACTATTTGATCTAAATTTCTATTGCATATTTGGAGTAACTGAAGGAAATTCAGTAGATTGCATTGTAGTCTGAGCTTTTTGTGTAACAGATGGAAAGTCGGCTGATTCAAATGCGACGGAAGTAGGAAGTGGAGGAGCATTTTGATCGATAATGAGAGGTCCATTTGAAGGATATTGATTTGGTTGCAAGAGAGGTGTATGATTTGGATTTGTATATATAACGCTATTGCTTACGACAACAGGTGAAACTGTAACTAAAGGTTCACTCGCGATTACTTCTTCTACAGCGGGTTTGCTCTTGAAGCAACCTGTGCAATTTGCGACCCAAAGAACAATGACAATTGCCAAAAATGTAGCAACTAAAATTGCAAGTGTCGCTCCATTCATAATTCTCAAAAAATTGAAAAAGTGCTTAATTCTAAAAAGTGACTCTATCTGAACGGAGTAATTATGATAAACCCGGAATTCAAATAGCATATTCAATATAAGCTTCTAAGGCCAATGATTGCGAAAAGACTTTTTGCATTAGGGCTGCCTATCGAAATGATTTTGTGACTTTCTATAACAGAGGGATTATCAATTATAGATTAGCTGTAGTATGTATCGTGATAAATTAAAATGCCATGGTTCATTATTCTAATATTAAATTTGAAATCAAGAAATTCGATCAAGAAATACTTTTTTACTGTTCTACATGCTTATGTTCCTAATGGGTGTATTGATTTTTAAAGATAATCCGCGTGGCATAACATTATTGTTCAACAATATCTGATAGTAAATAAATTATAATAGTTCTCATCAGTCTAAGCATATTTTGTCTCAATTTGCATTAAATAGTTATTAAAGGCATTTGGTCAATTACATTATGTAGATATCTTGTCTATAATGTTGTATTTAGTCGGATTTATAAGCTCATGGCCTATTTGCATATGTACTGTTATTATGTATTTTTAATTACAATGTTCATTTCCTTTTGTTGGAATCAAAATATCTTCAAGTCAATTGTATATAAAACAATAATAATGAATTAATATAATATAGATGAATAGCAATTTCTAATGTATTGGTAGTTATCGAGAGTCAAAAGAATTAGTTTATTTCAAATATTTACTATTTTATTGCTTGAATCACAAAGTTCATATTAAATTTCTGAATACATTACTTTTCCATAAGGAGTTCCAGAATGAACGAAGTCAAAGTTTCAAATACACTCGATTCGTATGTAACCTAAACGGAATTTTAGGTTATTCACACAAAATTATCTGCTTATTATAGCTGGCTAACTCTATCATATTTATTTAAAAGAGTTATCCAACTAAACAACTATGAGGTACGACACTTTTCATGTAATATTGCCTGACATTGAAAAAAATATTTTGATAATTTTATATTTTTGCCAAAATAGTTAAATATGGATTTACTATGCTTCCTAAAATTGGAATTCTTAATCCCGATAACGCTCGATTTTACATTATTCAATGAAAAAAATTTATCGACTACAGAATTTGTATATGTTCGAAAAAAAATCATAGTTTTGTTCAATACGAAACAGTGTAAAACTTTTCCAGGTAATCGTATTTACACAAAATTTTTGCTGTGCTTTTTTACAAAATGACAATTTTGAGAACCCATCTAATCCATAGGATTTAAATTATTAAAATATTGATTATTGCATGTATCTGAGTAACATTGATCCTGTTGATTTTTGCATTCAATTTATTTATAATCCAAAAAAACTAATAAAAATTGATATTTATAGTTTATACATTATTTCAAGATAACTGTTTTTTCTGACAGCTTTCAGAAATATTCAAAAATGAATGTTGAAGAACTAGAATACTTAAGGTCTCAGGGCATACAAGTTTTAGAGAAGATTGCAAGTGGTGGTAATGGTGAAATCTTCATTGTTTTCAGTCATCAATACTTTTCCCAGTTTATTCTGAAAAAAATCAGAGAGAACATTTTTAATGAAGCAGAAATTGAATGCATGATGAGGTGTTCAGATCCTTCTATTGTTGCACTATACAAGTATTACAAATTTGGTGGATATATTTATCTGCTAATGGAATTGTGCAAATGTGATCTCGAAAAATACATCAAAACTACTCAAAATATCTCAGAAAAAGACACCGCAAACTTAATTAAGAGCCTTATCTTAGCCGTTAAAGCATGTCATGATCATAACATTGCTCATTGTGATATCAAACCTTCCAATTTCTTAATAGATAACTACCAAAGAGTCAAAATTGCAGACTTTGGCCTATCCTCGATCTTTGGTCAAAACAAGACATCAAACATTTGTGTAGGCACTATCTATTTTATGGCACCCGAAGTAATCAGACGCCAAGCTCATGATTCTTTAGCAGCAGATATATGGGCACTTGGAGTTACAATATATTTCATTGCTACAGGAAAATATCCATTCTACTCGGCTGTTCCCGATGAATTAATTGCTCAAATCTTCCAAGGGCAATATTCAACGGCCTGTATCGCTGACTCAAAGTTAGTTCAATTAATTGCGGCTTGTCTTTCTCCAGATCCTCAAAGCCGTCCTACAGTCAATCAACTTTTGCAGATGGACTATATCGCATGTCTTGATATTGATAGCAACAAGAAACTTTTACCAAAAACAGGATCAGTTTTATCAGGATCTCGTTTAATTTTGAAGCCTAACGTTCCATCTGTAATTCGTGCCCGAGTCAGAACACCAAAGATGGGCAAAGTTCGAGCAAGCTGCAGTTCTGTCCCATCACAGCTCCATCCTATTCAAAATTTAGCAATTTGAAATTGTAATTTATATTCATGTATTATGTTATATATTTGTAATAAACATGTTGCGTTAATTCTAGATTTAAAATCCGTTTTGGATTGTTCGACAATTTAATTTCTCAATGAATATGATGTCCTTTTTAAATGATGGGATTTGTTATTTCATAACATGAACAGCATATCATGCATAATCATGGACAACTCGCATTAATTTATGTGAGTCGTAATGATATTCCTGCTGATATCATTTGCTTTTCGCACAAAAAGCTAGCATAATTTAAGTTTTTGGAGGAAACAAATTGTTCCATATTATTTATAGTCTTACTCTTATTTTTTAACCTAAAATTTATACATGGGAGTCGTATTTGTATCCCCCTTTTTTCGACCCAAAGGTATTACGCTTCCCTGGAAATAAAACTGTTATCATTAGGAAGTCACACAAATTAAATAAGATATAAAAATGATTAATTGAACTATTACAATTTAATATATACAAACAAAGAAAAAAAAATATAAAATATAAATTACCAAAGAGGACACCAGCCGCTATAAAGATGTGCCAAGTTATATTTATTGCGGGCAGCTTCTATTAATGCCGATACTTGTTGAGGAACACTTAATGCAATTTCTGGATCAAAATCTTTTCCGTTCAATTTATCCCATAGCCTTGAAATGATTTGTTCTCTTGTGTATTCATCGTTATCATAATCTTCTCCTGGCTCATTCAAGAACATTTCGATAACAGATTTCAAAGGTGTCGAATTCTCTCTTGCTACATTCACAACACGTTCGCAGACAGCTCTAAAGTCACTATCCACACCCCCAATACCGAAGGCCCTAATAATCATTCTTGTCAGTCTGAACGGAATCAATTCAGGAAAAACAACTCTTCTCATGTCAACTTCGAAACAGTCTCCGAAATCGATGTGAATAACTTCACCACTTGATCGATCTATCATTATATTCAAGGCATGTCTATCTCCAAGACCCAAAATATAACCTACAATCGATGAAATTCCCATTGATTTCTGGAAGTGAAGTGATCTTTCAAGCCAAGCATCCGCTGACGGACTTTTTAGCCAAAAAACTTTTCTCAAATCATCAGCAGATGTTTCTACATCTGTTTCATTGATTATTTCCAATCTTTGTATTGGCCTTAAGTTATTGAAATCATTGATAGATTTCTGGCACATCATATGACCTTCAATAACTTGATCAATTCCATGGAAAACTCTGTATTCTGTAATCAAATTATGCAAAGCATCGCTTCCATCAATCCATTGTATCAAACCAATGTCAGTACTCAATGGCAGTATATTGTATAATCTCAAAGATATCGAATCGCTTGCCAAACTAAAATCTTTCTTAACTAAAGTATTAATCAAAGAAAAGAACTGCATCATTCTCAAATCTAACTGCAAATCTTCATTCGCTTTCAACAGGAAAATGTATTGTTTTCCATCAGTTCCAATCATTTCTAATCTTCTCGGATGCTGTTTAGAAGGCAATACTTCCAAAGCGTCTTTGATTTTCTCAATGTAGACACTTGGAGGTCCGCCAGGAACTAATATATGTGAGACATTTATCTCTGTGTTTTTCTCAGTGACATCGCACAATCTGATATTATCTATTGAACAAATAAATTTCTCTGAATTAGCTTTGACTAATTCTACAAAATAAGATGGATCTCCTCCTGCACTTAATATGTTAGTTATCTGTTCAATGTTCTCGAAATTCAATCTCAAGAACAATCTGTCCATTGGACAAACATGATTCGAAACATTATCCATCAAAGTTTCTAAATAATCTGGCGCAAACATTGTCCATTTTTCAAACAATGTTGATGCAGCATTTATAAGAGAAAGTCGAAGTTTCTTGGCTTCTCTAGTTATATCTGGAAAGAACCTCAAAGCTAATTGTATCAAGTTCTTGCAGTTCTTGTGCAAATTGTCATTTGCGCTCTCTGTTCCGACATAAAGAGGAAAAACTAAACTTTGGATGGAAGATTTCATCAAACTTTTGATGATTTCGCCTGAAATGTCTGCAGCACGTTGGTTCTCATGTCCTAGTTGTGAAATAAGCTGTGGAATGGCATCGACAAATTTAATTGGAGGAATTTTTGAAAAAATCTGACTAGTTACATTCAAAACTTGATCGTCAATGACAGATTCGAAGAAAACAGAAATTAATTGAGCCAAATCAACGAAATTGACAGAGATTTGAGCAGTTATACAAGGCACGAAACCTCTTATAGCATTGATTGCGTAGTTCATGTTGCTTTTATCCTGTTTGAACAGCATAAAATTGGCAATTGCCCATTTTTCATTCAGTAAAGAAATTGAAGGATCTGCAGGACCTCTTTGATTTGATATTTCCTTGATCAGATTCTCAAGGATTTGAGCGACATCGTTAAGTGTTTGCACGTTCTGTCCATTAGTAATAAACATCCAATCCGTGTATTCAATCATCAAACTCGGGAATTTTGTCAATTTCGGATTTTCTTCCATCAAACTCCTCGACATTCTCAATGCTTCGTGTCTTTGTCCCAACGCCCACAGATATCTTAAGTATTGGAGAACAATACTCGGTGATGCTGTGTGTGTGTTGAAATTCGGGTATTGGAATTTCATCATGAAATTGAACATGTTAAACTGTTTTTCATGTAAAAATATTGTTAATCCTCTCATGAATCCTTTCGTGTCATCTTGTGCATAAACTAATCTCGGCTTCAAAATATCCCACAAAACTTCACTTGTTGGCTCGCAGTTGATGAACCTGTTTCTCCAGACTTTTGAAGGAGGATTTCCCTGGAAGTTGATGACTTCTGTCAGTTCGTAAAGGATCTGTGACTGTACAATAATTGGATATACTTGGGAATACAAAGATTTGAATTTTTGGCTGTGTTGTTGTGCAATTAATTTGAAAGCGGAATTAATTGTTTTCTCAGCTCTTTTCATGTTGTTATTCAAGATCAATGCGTAAGCAAGTAATATATGGCTTTCCAATGTATCCAATTCCATCGCCAATGAATAAGTCAGCATCTGTTGATATTCTTTTACAAAGAAACTCGCACATGCATAATTAAATGCGATTTTCTTTTGTTCTTGTTTTGTGAACTGGTCGAACTTGTCTTTCTGGTCCAAGATCAAGTCATATCTATGTAGATTGCATGCAGCAGTTAGATAGCTACTGAAATCTTCGATTTCTGGATTTGGACAATCGATAATTTCACCAAAAACTCTCAAAGCTAAATCCCATTGTCCCAATCTCATCAACATGTGTTTTGTTTGACTTTTCGGAACAACTTCTATTAAAGATTTAACAGCAGACAATCTGTTCGCTTGGTGCGCAATTTCAATGATAGGAATGGCTGCTTCAGGCGATGGATTTTGCATGTATTTGTCCTGTGCATCGTAAAAAGCAAGAGAATACAATTTTGCCTTTGTACACAAAGTCAAGAAATCTTGTGTTTCAAATTGCAAAGGATTCTCGCTTTTCTCCATCAGTTCGCAGATAGTAATGAACTTTTCCAATATCTCATTCGGTATCTGCTGATGATGCAAGATTTCGCTGAATTCCTTCGACAACAATGACTTGAATTCAATAGACAATTGTTTCCAAGTACTCAACAAAGCAGGAAAGAAAAGATAGTCAGCTAAAGGTTGATGTACATTTGCGAGTTCAACACAAGTAGAAACAACAGGACAAGGCGCGTAAGATATCAATGTTAACAATGCCTTTCTGTACCAGTTGTTCCATCTTGTTGTTGATTCAGCTTCCCTCAATTTGAAGAAATAAATGATTTGCAATGGATCGAAATCATTTACTTTGGGAAGTTTTGCGTGGATTTGGTTCAAACTCGACTTTTGAATGAAAGGAAAGTCAGTGATCTGTAAGTTCTCTGTTTCTTCTGTCTTTTGGATTATCAGCAAACAGTTGTTTTTCGTTTCTTGATCATCAATAAACAAATCAGAAATTCTGTAAATATACAAACTGCTTGAAGAACCAATTCTAACTAACAAAGTGTATAAGACTTGTCTTGCCAAGTTATACACGTCTTTGTTGCTATTCGATTGGCATATCCCGAAAAGAGCAGAGAAAATGGCAGCAATGAAATTCAATGGATTTCCATTTTGTGAAATATACAACAAACTTTCTAAAGCTCCTATTTTCGTCTCGTTCTGAACTAAATCATCAGAAATAATTGAGCAGATCTGTGGCAATGCAAGTTGACAAATCTGTTGCGAAATAGGACTTAATAATGCAACAAGTCGTAAACATAAAAAAGTGACAATAGGTTTTGTAATGTAAGCAGAAGCCAAAGTTTCTAGCAATTTTGGAACGATTGGGCCCCAGAAATCGGAAAAATCTGTGTGTATGACAATAACCAAAGCTGTTACAACGGATATTATGCTTTCGAGGAAAGGGTTCATCCAGATATTGTTAATTTCATTCATAATTTCAGGAATGTAAGGGGTAACTCTTTGTTTTGTTATATATATTAGTGTTTCCAGTTGACTTAGAGCTACAATCTTCTGACTATCTATCTTTTCTCTCAAATATTGTAACACAATATTAATAATTTTTTCCAAAGAAGCAGGATTCGGAGCATCCATGTATGCCAAAACGTTTATTGCTACAGTTAATGTCTTTTCTCTAAGGCTAGAGAGAGATCTGTCGTCGACCATCGCGTGTAATCTGTTAATAATGTATTGTCCGAAATACGAGTTGATCGACTGTTGATCCTGGAGCTTGAATATGTCGTGGAAGTCAGTATCAACTACTCTCTGAGAAAATTTTTTTGATCCGAATACTCTCTGCGGAGTTACAGCTCCACATTGACCAATTAAGTTGATTGCGCTTACTCTTAGTAATGTAGAGTTCGATGTTGCTATGATATTCATCAAGTTTTCCAGCAGGAGAGGCGCAATTGAGTAAATTTCTGGTGGAGTTTCGCTTTGTTCCACGAAACTAGAGAATGTTTTGATGATGATTTTCTTTATGTGTTTGTCTGAGTATTCTCCAAGTATAGAAGTGAACAAAGGGAAAATGTTTTTGATGTGAGGAAGGATGAGTTCCTTGTTGTTTCTCAGAATGACTTGTATTACTTCTATCAAGTGATATGTCATCTGATTCTCATGTTCTGTCTGGACACTTATAACTTCTTTTCCTCTTGTTGAAAATATGTGGATACAAAGAGGTAAAACTAGTGTTGAATACATCGGAATCATTTGGTTGGCTGCTTCAAGTAAGGCTGGAAATGACTGCAAGTACTTTGTCCGTTCAAAGACTAAGTTCGTGCACACAATGTTCATGAAATGAAATCGAATCGCGTGTCGCAAAATTACGTCAACTTGGATCGGACTAAATGGTCGGAGTTTTTTTAGTAAATTGTAGTCGGAAATGCGGACAAGTGGAGAGTCATCTTTCGCAAGGATCTCAAGGAAGTTCAAAACAGGTTTTTGCGCTAATATTTCGTAGTAAAATTCATCAAAAATTTCAATAAAACTGACTTTGATTTCGGGTGAAGGTTCTGACAGGGTGGAACTGAGTATTTTAAGGATCTGATCGAGAGATCTGTGGCTGGAGCTTAGATATAATATAGCCCTGGAAGCAGTAACCCTTAAATCTCCGTCTTTGGAAAATAAATAACTTGTTGAGGCTTCGTAAAGGACTTCTTTGTATCCAAATGGAATATCTGGAATAAGCGGAATTAGTTTGAGCGCACTTAATGAGTCTTGGCCGCTCGATGTGACTTCATTTGCAATTTTAAATAAAATTCCTTCCGAAAACTGTTTAATTAGTGGTGGGATCTCTTTAATTAACTTTGGAAATAAATCTATAAACTTCCTTTCGAACATTACTGGGTTTATTATGCTAAATAACATCGAAGTATTTATATTGAAGAAATCTGGATCGATTTGAATGATTTTAGCTATAATATCAACAATCATTGGATAATATAAGTTTGTTGCTTGATATGTTATTGTTAAAAATAAAGAAATTAAATTATTATTAATTATTTTCTTTGGCTGAGGCAAAAACTTGATTAAACTGAAGATAATGTCGAGTAGTGGTGGAATAGCATCTGGACTTTTCGATAAATCATTTAGTTCTGTTAAATATGACTCCCAAATCGAATTTAGAAAAAAATCTGCGTCAATCAATGAAATAAGTGAAATTACTTTGTATGAAAGCGCTTTAATAATCATCTCTCTGTTCTTCGTGAATGGATATATCGCTGTATAGAACTTAGAAGCTTGTACATCCGATGGAAATAATCTCATCGAAATAACTGCATTCATTATGCCTAAAGCTCCGTGTGTAGAATATTTTCGTTGATCTCTAAGTAAATTCATTGCATAATTAAATGTGTTACGTATAGTTAGCTTGTGTTGTCGATTTCCGTGAGCTCTTGTGAGGATTGATATATATTTGGTAAATACATCGAGTGCTAGTGTTCGTATTGAATCGTTCGTTGATATAATATATGGCAAAAGAAGTTGATTCGCAGCTGGATAATTGTAAATAAAAAAATATGGAAGGTGAGTAGATATTTCTCTTATTAAAAATAAACCCATCATGTTGGATGTATTATCAGTACGTGCTTTAATTAGACCTATGCCTCTATTTAAATATCTTCTGGAAAATTTTTCATCAGTTTCGCATGTTTTCTGGGCTACTTTTGCAATAAAATTCGAAAATATTAACATGTTGTTTGAGTTTTGACTTGAAAGAAGAGTATCGAATAATGGATATAATTCTGAAAGGTTATCGAGAAAAAAATGGCATAAGGATGTAAGCCCTATATATAGTTTTAACAATGAAGTATTATCTTTGACTTCTGATAATGTTGTAAGATAATCTTTGGAATCTGATATCCATTTTGCTAATTCTGTTTGATTTTTTAGTTGCAAAGTATCTCTTATATCATCCCATATCCGTTTCGTAAGGTTTTGAGCTTCCGAAAATGTAGTTGGGAGGACAATTCGAGAGACGGTACTTTCCATCTCTCGAAATATGAGCTGACATAATTTTAATCTTGTGGAATTAGGCTATTAATCATTGTTAAATTGAGGAATTATGGAAACATTCCGAAATTTTGAAATTCAATTTGCCTCATCATTCTTTAGGCTTATGTTTATGATAGAATTAGGATTGCTGAACAAAATATGTCAATATATCAAAGATTGATCACTGCTATTAATTGGATAAAATATATCTTGATGTTGAGTGAAAATGGTAGAGAAAATAGCTTTCTTTGTTTCACAAGTGCTTGATAATGATAAGGAAAAATGTTCTCATTGAAAATAGTAGCTTTCAGCAGGAAAAAGAAAAAATATTTTCCGACACGGGGAGTCGAACCCCGCTCCAGCGGATGAGAACCGCTTATCCTAACCGATGAACGATGTCGGATTTACATTTCTTAAATTTCTATTTTTATAATAATCAAGATAATTCTGTGAAATACCACACAATTTCAAAAGAATTTACTCCACTTCATATTGCAGTATTTTCTGAGAACCATGAAACGCACTTATGTGTAAAATATCACCCCAAATATATGAAACTTCCCCCAATACCTTTAAAGGAATTATTTCAATTTAATGTTCCCATCAAAAAGATCTTTAAAATAAAAATGAAAAATTTCAAAAACAAACGATATATATTTTATACTAATACAATATAAGAAAACTACCATGCGCGCATCATCTTCATAGTTAGCAAAGCCAATTTATTAGCATTATCAACGCTAAATATTGGCATTGGTCCTCCATAATCATCATCTAGCAATCTAACATAAACGGCAAACGGATCTTTCACTTCCTTAACAAATCCAGGCACTTCATTCATTGCATTGAAAATATCTTCATTAACTTTCTCTGCATCAGACACTTTTGATAACAGATTCATTCCAGTAGCTGCAATATTTCTATTTGATTGGTTCATTGAGTACAAAACGAAAGATGCAATTTCATTCATCGTATTTGTCATCGTAACAGGGTTTTCAAGGCAAGACATTAAGAAATATGTTGCAGCTGCATGTAATATCGAATGATCTGGATTTGCTTTCATCAAATCTGTTGTAACTTTCGGAAGTTTCGCGTAAAGAACGAATTCTGGTATAATTGGATCGAATTTGATCATAAATGCAAGAATATGTAATGCAGATACTGATGCTCTTGTTCTGACTCGTTTTGGATCTGTTATCATTTCAACTGACTCTTGGAAAAGAGTTCTCATGACATCGAATGTCTTTGCGCATGCCAGGGATGCCATAGCTTCCCATCTTGCGTCTTCGATGTAAGAAGGAAGCTCTCCCAAATCTCTGTTCAAAACTGCAAGAACAGAAGAGAGTTTCACTTCCTTTCGTAGTATCTTTGATGAGCTGGCAATCTTAATGATGTTATAATACGCGACAAGTAATGATCCGTTGTGATCTGTTCTACCGCAATTTTTCAATGCGGGAGAATACATTGATTCGAGTTCTTTGATGAGGACTTGTATAAATCCTACGTCGATGAGCCATTGCTGGACTTCTTTGAGCTCTTCATTTGGTCCGCAAAGTGCTTCGAAAAGAGAGAACACGGAAACATCATCAGCGTATGTAACGAGTTGTAGAATAAAGCCGCATGAATCTTTAATTGCATTTGGATCGATCAATAAACCTGATAATGTTAATGAACTTAATCTCGGTAAAATTAAAGGATTTTCATCGATGTGTGGAAGTACACCCAATACTGCATTCATAAATCTTTGGTGTGCAAGCATTGCTTTCGTTAATTCTGGAAGTGAATGTTCTAATATTGAAAATGCTTTCGCGCTTAAATCTTTCTTTTCAGAATAAAATGTTAGTTGAAGTAATTCTTCAACGTTTCTTACAAAACTGATGTTAGAAAATAAAACTATACAATTCTACCAATCCAGGATCTGCCGTCCTGAAAAGTCTAAAAGTAACAGGACGCTGAAGCATCTCTTCCACTGAGGCGTCTTCAAGATTTTCTAAATCAGCGGCTCCTTGAGACAATTCCTCCAGGAAAGAAAGTTCATCCATTTCAAGATTTTGCATGAAAGATTTTAATCTCCCTTTTTATCGTTAACAACGAAATATGTCTAATAAGCTAAATTAACGCTATTTTTCATAGCAAATTCCATGTTTCATGAAAAAAAATGCAAATATGAAATCAAAATCGCGATCAAAATGCTCCCCTAACTGAAAAATCAATACACATGCAATCTCCTTATGCTAAAGATAATCCGGTGTAAGTATTGAATGATTTCGAATGTCAGAATTAGTGAGGTAAAAAGTGACAATCCATATGAGCAACGAAATTTCCATTGGAAGCTTGACTGCTGATAGCATTGCAAATTGGATCCTAACGGAAACTTCTGCTCAATTCCAAGAAGATGATCTTTATGATATTATTCGCAATTTAATTAAAAATCAAACGATTAATTTTGACGAATTTCAAAGCCAAATGATAAAATTATTCCCAGAAGATGCAGAAAAATTAGTTTCAGATCTCAAAAGATTTCTAAATGCTTCATTAGAGCCTGCTCCTTCGAATAATTTCTATGAAAATAGCCAAACTAATGATAATTATGAAACTCCAGCAGGAGAATATAATAACGAAGGATCACCCAAAGATTACCCACTGGGATCTCCAAATGAAGATGAAGAGAAAGAAAAATCTTCACATTCAAAGTCAAAAAAGCACCATAGTAAGCATCACAGTCATCATCACCACCATCACCATAAACATCATCGTTCGTCTTCCGAAGCATCTGATAGCGACAATCCAGAAGAAAAACCTCCAGGAGAAACTCTACCAAATGATCCAATGGAACCACATGTACCCGATCCAAACGTTTTCACTCAAGATGAAATCAATGATATAAAGAAATCAGCGCGTTCAATCTTCCAAAACATGGTATCTCAATTTGGAAAAAGTCAATACGAACCACAAATCAGACAACCGCGTCCAGATGATGGCGGTTCAGCTCGCCGTAGAGATAATAGACCTTCTGACAATTATAATAGAAATGATGACAGAAATCGCGATAATTCTAGACAATACGATGACTCTTACAAGCGTTACGATGATTCAAACCGTATGCAAGATAATGATAGATACTACGACTCAAAGAGAAGAGATTATGACTCAAGAGACAACGATTACGACTCAAAGAGAAGAGATTACGATACAAGAGATAGCGATTACGATTCTAATAGATATGGAGATAAATCCAGCAGATACGAACCTGATCAATGGCGTAGATCAGAAAATTCAAGAAATTATGACGACAAATCCAGACGAAGAAATGAATCTTCAACTAGATTTGAAGAAGACCCAAGGAAGCGCAGTGATTCAAGAGATTTTGAAGAAGATCCTAGAAAACGAAATGATTCTTACAGATATGATGACCCAAGGAAGCGTGGAGATGCAAGAGTATTTGAAGAAGATCCAAGGGAACCTTCAAATAGATATGATGATCCAAGAAAACGCAGTGAATCAAGAGGATTTGAAGAAGATCCGAGAAAACGTGTAGATACATCAAGAAGATTCGAACCACCTAAATATCCTCCACTAGGACATGTATTCATTGATCCAACAAGAGGACAACAGCCTCCATTCATTTTTCCTGTTCCACTTCACCCATATCCTCACATGCTTCCTATCAACGCGATGCCTCCTTTGCCTCCAATGCCAATGGACAATCCTCCTTTCCACAGAACATCTGATTACGCTGTAGATCCTAGAGATTCTCGAGATTCAAGAGATTCTAGAGACTCGAGGGACTCAAGAGATTCAAGGAGCTCAAGAAAGCATAGTCATGATCGCTACAGACATTAGAAATTCTTTATATTAGTCTTATTTTTTGTTTATTTTTTTCAAAAAGAAAATTTAAAATAGAACTTGTTATTCATCTGTTTTCTAATAGAAACGCTTTATAGTGTACGCATAGTTGCATCAAGAAGAATGAACATTTCATTACGACTCCAGAAAAAAATAAGGTGCTCAATTTTATTGACATTTTTTTTGCGACTCATATAAAAAATCATCTACTATTAGAGTACTAATGATTATTCGATTTATTCGTTTTTTTATAAAACAAAAAGGCAGAAAAAAGTTTTGGGAACTAAAGTAACAATCTCGGAATTCCTCGAGTTTTATGCTCGAAGGATTATGAAGATTGCTATCCCTGTAGTAATTACTCTTCTACTAGATGTTTTTCTTACGCGTTTAAAAGAACAATCTTTCCTAAATACAACTATCGATCGAACTATTACAGTTTTCACACGTACATCATCCTCATCGAGTGGAATTAGTACAAAATGGGCAATTATTCTTGCTGTTATACTAGTTGCTGGAATTTTCCTTGTTACAATTGTATTATTACTTTTATATTACTATGGGTGTACTAAATGTATTATAGTATGGATGGTTATAGCAGTTACACTACTTCTTTCATATTATGTTTACCTAGCAGTTGGTGAAATTCCAAGTTTAGAAAATTGGCCGATTGATTGGATAACTGTCGTTTTCTTCCTCTTAAATATAGTCATTGTTGGAAATATGGCTGTATTTTGGCGTGCCCCAAAGATTGTTACTCAGATCATTTTGATTTTAATTTCTGTCATGACTTGCTGTGTCTTTCTTTTCCTTCCAGACTGGACTGTATGGTTACTTCTAGGTATGCTTGTCATTTACGATATCTGCGTTGTATTATGTCCACGTGGTCCCTTACAATTACTAATTAAAAAATCACAAGAGCGTGGTGATGCAATTCCTGCTCTTATTTATAGTTCTGCAGCTTATACCTGGAAAGATGGACCTGAAGAGGAAGAAGAATCTCATGAAATCCAAATTGACAGATCAACCGAGCAAGAAGAGAATAACCAATCCAATGAACCAAGTACTCACGAGAGTAACGAACAGACTAATCAAGAAACTAATGAACAAGAAGATAAAAAACCTTTGGAGAAAGATCCAGAAAATGGCCATCATAAGAAGCATAAAAAGAGGAGACCAAAGAAATTCCCACTTGGTTCAAAGAAAATACATCCAGCAGAGCCAAAAGAACTAAATTCTGAACAATCAACTGAATCTTCTTCTTCATCTTCATCAAGTTCATCATCAGAAGATGACAGTGAAGCGCTTGAATTAGAATCGAAAGAAGGAATTAAACTCGGATTGGGAGATTTCGTTTTTTACGGAATTTTAATCAGTAGAGCTGCAAGAAAGGGTTGGGATACTTCTGTTGTATGTATAGAAGCTGTTTTGCTCGGTCTTTCAATCACTTTAATCTTTCTTGCGATATTGGAAAGGCCTTTGCCTGCATTGCCTTTCTCACTTGTTTTAGGTATTATATTCTATTTCATTATGCCATACACATTGAAGCCTTTCGCCCTGAACTTAAGAAAGCTTCTTTTGGTGTATTGAAATATTGTATATTGTTTATTTTTGTATGTTTTTAAGGATAAATATTGTTATATATAAGAATTATCGTTGATATTTAAAAGGACAACACTCCTTTTCAATTGTATATTATTGAGGAATTTTGCAAAAGTGACAGCGCGGGAATTTTTCTCCGTTATTTTTTTATATTTTTTTGATAAAAATGACTGGTAAAATTCATTCTCCTCATATGTTAAAGAATCCAAAATCTCCTAAGACTCACTTAACCATGGAGCATATTAACCAGCTCATCAAAAAAAATCCATATAACTTGCCACCAGATGAAAAATTATTGACTATTAATGATGAAAATAATGAAAGAGCAAAGACTGATATGAGACAGCGTTCAAGAACTCGAATAGAATTCAGACAACCTCAAAATCTTCCAAGATTACAAAGTGTGCATTCTGTTATGGGAGAACCAGTTGATGAAATTAAGCCTGTAGCTACAGAACATCAAAGGAGACAACAAATGCATGGTTTTGTAGAACAAACACGTGATATTTTACTAGCTCAATTGAAAATTGGCAGAAAATCAAAAGAAATTGAACGTATTATGCAACAACAGCTTACTGAGCAAGGAATTATACAAACTCAGATTGCTAGAATTGCAGAAACTAATAACCAATACGATATGACATCAAATTCACTCAAAGCTGAGCTTAATAGAGCAAAAAAGGAATGTGATAAAGCACTTAACGAAAAGAAGCAACTGCAAAGAGAGCTTAAATTCAAGTATGATACCATCGCGCGCATAAAAGCTGAAATTACAAAGAACGAAGATATCGTATTTTCATACAGAAACTACAGCGAATTCCTCAAATCTCTTACTCCTCCTGGAGAGAATCCTCTAGACCGCTTCCAGGAACCTCAAACATTACTTAACGAATTTGAACAACTCGAATCTGATAATCTCTTTCTCATACAGAAATGTTGCGAACTCGAGCAAGAAAGTGATCGTGCAATGGAAGATATTAGAAAAGAACTTACTACAGCCCAAGAAGAAAAGCGAAAAATGGAAAATGCGGAACAAAAAATTAATCCAATCGCAGTTCTTAACTGCAACGATACAGCCATACAACAAGATTCTCGCGCAACAGATGATGAGCTTGCCCAACTCTCCAAATACATTCAAAGCGCTTACGTTAAGTGTTTCGGAAGTAAAAGCGATTTCGGACCAACAACAATGCTCGAAAGACTTGAAAACGAGCTTGAAGTCTTATATAAAAAGATTGCAGAGCTTCCTCCTGAGTTTGTTAATGAGACACAAGCTCATATCGAGAAGGCAAGAAGAGATCAAGCGAGAGCTGACAGACAAGCTCAAAAACTCCTCGAACAGAGAAGAAAGACTGAACAGGCAATCGAGCGTGCAAATAGACCTGTTACTAAGAAGATGGGAAGACCTCTCAAGGTGCGTGTTTTGTCAATGCAACTTACTCATCATGTTAATGATGAAAAGAAAGCTCAGGATGAAAAATTACAAGAAGAACTTTTGTTCGGCTCTCTTGATGACTAAAATTTTGTTTGTTATTTGATTATTATGAACTGAAATTGCTTTTTTATCGCAAATTTGAGCAATATAAGATAAATAATTTTCTGTTAACCTTTCGTTGTGAACTCATAATATACTTATTTTAATACACTCATAAAAAAATTATATTTCACTGTATTTAATTGCTTGAAAACTCATTCCAGATTTCCAAAAAAATTTTGAAAATCAAAAAATGAAAAATTATTTAGCAAATTCACTCTTGGTATTTTTATTTTTTAAATTTTTTTGGAAAACTTCGATGAAGGAATTAAAATAGGGTTGTTAGATTCCCGACGATAGGTGTCTTGGAAGATTTGCCTGGTGGCATCATAGTGTCTTTAAATCAAAAATTTTATTTTGGAGTTAGTTTGATTGATTTTTCAATAAAAAACATTTCTAAAACAAGAAAATAAAACGATAAAATATTTATATTTTATATAAGGATCTTATATATTTAAAATAAATATCATTTTATTTTTTTCATTGGTGTCTGTCAAACCATAATACACTATTCAAAAATTCAATGTGTCTTGCGGTTTCAAAAGACACCTTCAAATTGAACGATAGCACAGACACTATTGAATTTTACCCATTGTATTTAGTTTTTACCCTTTTTATTTTTAAGAATTAATGACTGAAACAGCCGTTTTGCTATGACCTCAATCACTTTTATTTATTATTTTAAATATTATTTAATTTTATTATTTGAATAGGCCAACTTATATTTGAGAAGCTCAATTTGAGACCACTTAATACATTGAAATATCATAAATATTGAAATATTAAAAGTGTATTTCAAAATATTGAAATTATAAAAATTTATAATACTGAAATTGAGACAAATTAATAAATTCAATGTGTTTTTTTGAAATAACTCTCAAATATTATTTTTTTGTTTATTTAATGATGAATAAATATGATTGCTTTAGTCAATCATAAAAACTAATTTAAGTTTAAAATAATGAAAGGATAATTTGATCGTTTTTTAAAATACAATTATTTTTGATGATTTGCAAGAATCTTTGAAAAGAATATAATATAGGTTCTATTTTTGTAAAATTTATCCAAATCATGTATTACATAAATTACGATTAAAACGATGAAAGAACCAAAAAGTGTGTTTTGTGTTTTGTTGTTGCGTGTTGGATGCGGGATCCTGTTATTTCCGAAATCGACAAAAAATTTGGAAATTTAATTTCCGAAATCGAAATTATATTAATGTTTTTAATATTCTTATATCAAAAGGATTAAAGTTCATTAAGAGAAAAACAATTCTTCTTCTTCTTCAATCTATTGGCGCATTTATTTCTACACGCCAATAAGGAAGGGAAAATTATAAGACACCATGGTGTCTTCAAAACGCGAATTTTTGATATTTTTAACAACCCTAAATTAAAATATACATGTGATGTTAATTATGATTTAGGTCAGGTGGGTGGGGCTTCCAGGCGCGTTGCGCCCTCTAGCCCATAAGAAATTTTGCCCAAGACCCAAGAGGAGGACCGAACCCCAGCCGACCAGCCGGTGACAAAACCAAAACCGTTGTTATTTACATCATATTAATGGTGTCACTTTTTTAAATGTCACATTTTGTGTCGCTTTTCACAAATTATATATGTTTTCATGTTTTGTCACTTTTCTGTCACTTTTCAGGAAAAAACATTTTTATTATTATATATAAATGAATTTTACAAAACCTCCGTTACCGTTCTTTGGAAATAAGAGTAAATGTAAAGATATTATATTGAGAGAACTTAAGAAACTACCGAATGGTCTAACATTTGTAGATTTGTTCGGTGGAAGTTTCTATATATCCCATTTATGTCATACAATATTCCCAGACTCAAAGATTATATGCAATGACTTCGACAACTATATGGACCGTCTCAAACATATTCCAGACACAAACAATATGTTGAAAGAGTTAAAAGAAAAGATACCTATAGGTAAGATGGAACGTATACCATTAGATAAGAAAAATATTGTGAGAGAGGTTTTGAAAAAAGCAGAATATATAGACTGGGATAGTATATCTGCTAGACTATTATATAGTGGTGCTATAAGAGTTCATGACATTGAAACACTTATGTCAAAAGTTTTATATCTTAACTATACAAATGTTTTCAAAGAGGACATAGAAAAATATATTGAGGGTATAGAGTTTGTGAGATGTCATTGGACAGAGTTGTATGAAAAATATAAAGACAAGGAAAATGTTTTCTTTATAGTGGACCCACCGTTCTATAACACATGGGATTTTCAATACCAAGTAGACTGGACTTTGAGAGACTCTTTAGAAACTTTAGACGTTATACATAACCATCCATGCTTTTACTTTACATCCGATAAAAGTGGTTTGGAAACCGTTATGAGATGGTTAGAGGACATACATGACTATGAGTTTATATATGACAAGATAGAATATGAGAGAGGTCCTATAACTGGAGAAAGTGTCACAATAAAGAAATTTTATTAGTAAGTAAATGTGGTTTGAAATAGGACTACTTGTTTTAGGTTTTTTCCATTGTGTCATTTATTTATTTGACGTGGCAGAAAAGTACAGAGAATATGAAGATGAACCAATGCCTGCAAATGTTCAGCATATGTACTCGTAAGAAATATTTTTATCTAATATTAAATGGACGCACAGAACTTAGCGAATGCACAGCAACCTGGACAACCAAACCCAGAAATATTCCAAATGAAGTTAGAATACAAACTGCAATGGCAAACTATGGTCAAGTGCAACAGATGTACAAATGCAAACTGCCATGTCAAATGACGCTGCGTTAGGTTTGCCACCATGGTATGCAAATATGAGATGGAAAGAGTTTTATACAAACCCTGAAGTGGGATATAAACAACTTTATGCAGATGACGCGAACACAGGAGTTGACCCAGAATATGTTTCTACCAGAGGAGAAACAGAATGTATGAGCTCCAGTTAAAGAATGCTATGGAACTCAACAGGAAACGTAAGAGACTAGGCGGACATTAGATTTTTACATATAGTAAAATGGGTTTCTTCAGTAAGATAGGAAACTTCTTTCGAAATGTTGGAAGAGGTATATGGAATGGAATAAAATCTGTCGGAAGAGGAGTATGGAACGGTGTCAAAAATATTGGTAAAAGAGTAGGTCAGTTTGTTGGTATTATACCTAAAGACCTGAAAGAAGAACAAGCTCCTGTAATACAACAGCCTGAACCTGCACCACAGTCAAGTTGGCAACCACAACCGGTATATTAAAAAGTTATATTTTTATCGTTCGATAGTAGTTGTATATGAAACTAAGTTCTAAGTAAAACGCATGGTATAATGGAATTATCTTTTTCTTCCATCTGTAGTAAACCATACTTGAAAGTCTGAAATACTTCCACTCGGCGGTTCATATAACTTTGTAGGTTTTTCGAAAAGTCATTCATCAGACATAAGAAAGAGTTTTGCGCACCAGAAAATGAAGCATGAACAATAATAGTATCTGGGTCGAAAATATTTCATATGTTCCATTAGGTTTTTCGACTTCATAATAGTCCGGGTGTACTGGATATGCTGCAGGCTGATTTAACATCCTCATAAATCTAGACCATGCCAAGTTGTTATATTTTGTAGAAATATAAACGTTTTCTCCAAGGTCTTATTTTATTGATTTAACAGTTGCATTTTTCCTGTCATAAATAATATCGAGATGGTATTCTCCTTCGTCAATGTTAAACTGGTTTGCATATTCAATATAGATATCGTTTATTTTTTCTGAAAAGCTGAAGAGTTGTTCTAAGTTTATAAGCAAATTAACTTGTAAAAGTTTTCCTTGTTCAAATTTCTCATACATACGTTTTTCTTTGTTAGTTAGTATACATATCAAGGGTACGGAGGCACTGCGCGCCTCCGTACCCATTATATGTGAATTTGACACTTTACGAAACCGTTAACGTATATTTTACAACACAAACGACAACACTAACTTAACCTTAAATATTTACAAAGCCACCAACCACTTCACCTCACTAACGTTTTCACAAACCACTTCACCTCACTAATGTAAAAAATAAACGTTCTCACTTACAAAAGTATTGCAACTCCTCCCATTGCTGTGCTTCATATAACAGCTCATAATCTTCTGACTCACTTTCTTCTTCATATAGGTCAAAATCACTGTCATAGTTTATACCTGTAAGTTTTGACAAAGCTAATGAAACACGCTTACCGTTTGTATCATATGCTTGTATAAACTTTCCATTATGCTTGTAGTCAAAACGCTCAAACTAACTTTACCCTTTCTCCCTCGTATCTGAAGAATGTATTTTTCACGAGGAACGAAGAACAAGTTCTTAACTCATGACCGTTGTAGTTTGTTATCTCAATAGTTTTCGTCATTTATATAAAAATAAAATAAAAAAAACTTAAAAATTAATGATATCACCACCCTCACACATATGAAAACATAGCCCAAAAATAAATTTAGGTGAAGTGGTGAGATCTCACCTGTTTTTTCACTTTTTTCACCCTGTTGAATTCATTGCTTTATAACTCTCTTCCTTTCTCCAACTCTTCTAACTTCTTCCTAAGTTTAGCAATGTTGTCCTCATGAAGTTTAATCTTCCTTAATATATACCTTCTCTATCTAATGTTGCTTTATCTTTCTAAACTGAACTCTACCATCCTTCATAGTTATGAATGTAAAAACCTTTCTGGAATAGTTCCTGATTTAATGTATTCTACCAAAAACTTTTGTTTCATGCTTCAGTGACTTTATTTGTCATTTCAATCAAATAAAAATTATAATAAAAAAAATAACGTTATTTTTCAGTAAGGAAACGCAGGAGTTTACGATTTATTTGAGGTAGTATTCTGGTTTAAATGTTGGAGTCGGTTTAGGAGTGACTTTTGAACAGGAGTTTGTACTTCCATGTTCAGAGTCATTGAAGTTTTGCTTTGAAGGTGTTGAGTTTGTTAACTTCAGCTACTTCAGTATTATTTACAACATTTGCTTTATTTCTTTTCAACATCATAACTGCTCCTGCTGTAGCTAGCAAACCTAGTGGGAGACCATATCTTATATAAGGACATTGACCAAATGCTATTTTGACAAGAGCTGGTGGAACACCTAACCTTGGTGAGACTGCTCTTTGCCATTGTGCAGCTCGTAAGAAATATTCAATAGGTGCTCCATAATCGTTTGGTAAAGTTTGTTTCATAGATGGTGAAGGTTCACGAGAGCTTGATGAAGAACTCATTTATAAGCTTTAAAAATAAACGTTCATCCTTTATTCCTCACTGTCGTCCGTAGCTAATTTAGTCATCTAATCTTATTATGGATGCCATTAGCACGCACCTGAATGGCAAAGCAACAATCCCTCATAAATCCAATAAGTGGCTTTGGTACATTTTCAGTTGCTAGTTCAATAGGTCCTTTAACAGACAATTTGTATTATTGGAGCAGTAGATGTTTGACCTTGCTGGAAGCAAAAGTCCACTTCTGTTGGAAAACCACATAAGAAATGTGTTGTTGTCATAGCTATCCCATTTATGTTCCACACTATCATCATCCACCAATGACCTCATAACATCTTCATTAAATCCAATCATATCATTGTTTGTATTGCAAGCGTTCGCAACCATTTCATAAAATACTTCCATATGATTTTTCAGGTTCTGCAGGCATATTTCCATAAGCTCCCATGGAAAGCTAAGATATTTAAACTTAGGGTTCTCAAAATTAACATAATAGTTGTCTTCTTCTTTCTAAATAGTGCCCAAATACTTTTAACATTAATAGCGTATAAGCTGCTTAAATGTTGCACTTGAACTATCTGTATTCTTTGAGAATGAACCGTCCATAGGAATCCAATCCATAACTTTAACAGGAAAACATAAAGCCTCGTTTGTATAATGTTCTACAAGTTCTGTATAAATGTTAGGGTCTAAAGAGAATGACTTTGGATGAATGAAACATTCATTAAAATCCATCTTTGTTCGAAATAGTTGCTGGTTTACAGTTGTAATAGTAACTGTTCCACTAGCTTCTACTGCCTTCGTTATCATAGTGAATGGTTCATTCCATGACATCGTTAGCTTTGCGAACTTGTTCTATAGCGCTCTTAAACATCTCTCTTCTCTGTTGTTTCAGTGTGTCGTCTCTTCTTCTTGTTTCACCAACGTTTGCATTTGTTATGTCAAACATTTCTCTTCTTACTTCATGTGGTACAGCTCTTCTTGTTTCACCAACGTTTGCATTTGTTATGTCAAACATTTCACGCCTTACTTCATGAGGTACTGAACGTCTATGATATAAGTCAATAGCAATGTCATTTAAAGGAAATGCTCTTGCATGGACTTCGTCCTCGCCGCGTTGCGGCTTTATGAACTCATGAATTCTATCATAACTTATTGCACCATTATAGTCATTGAGGATGTCAGCGAGTGCTTTTTTGTTTGTTGCGTAATGTTTTGCAACATCTATGTTAGCTTCTGTAAGAAGTTGTTTTATTTCCGAGTGTTCTAACTTAGACAACTTCCGATACATCTTTAGTAGGAAATAAAAAAATATTTTTTGAAAAAAATTAGATTAGATTTTTTTAAGTTATTTTTCAAAATAATTTAATATTTTTATTTTAATGAAACACATGCAAGATTGCAAGTTCTTTTCATACAATGCTCTCGCTACTGCCATCAAGAATGAGTTCAGTAATGCTGCAAATGTTAATGTTATCTTTAACAAGAAGTTTGTGAAAGAATCTAAGTTTGGTCAGTATGTCAGACCATTAGCTATTGTCATTGACGCAAACGTTATACTTCACAAGAGTTAGCAGTAGTTTTGAAACAAAAGAGTTTCTTCGTGAATGTCAAAGATACACACTATACTGTTATAAAGAACTCTAACGTTGACTTCTTCAGTATTGCTTTAAATCTTTCCGAACAGAAAGAATATAAGAAGGGTGAAACAAATGTGAAATATTATCCTTCATCTCTGAAGACAATAACGAACAAAGATGTCATACAAAAGTTCTTACCAAAGGTTGAAGAAGCTTCTATTGACATTGACGAAGGAAGTGAAATGGTTGAAGAAATAGACCCTGAAGCTATTTAAGCAAAAATATATTTTTGTTTATTCTTCCTCTTTGAAGTTATCAAAATATTCTGTTATTTTTTCCTTCAGTAATGTTAAGTCTTCTTTGAATGTAAGTATTGTGCAACCTTTGATGTCATAGTGTGTTTGAGGAAGAGTATTTTTGACAATTTCCTTTATTTGTTCATTCGGGGTCATTGAAATCGGTAAGTTTTCACGATAGAACCAATTTCTGTCAGATTTATATATCTTAGTGAGGTCATAAAAGCTCTTGTTATTTCTTCTCACTAAATGCAACATAACCATATCTTTATCTTCTTCATTTTCCATCTCTTCAGTATATATCATATACTTATAACTCTTTTCCTTTCCTTTTGGTACCGAACGTGGTATTCTTTTCTGAATGCTTTTGTCTTTGGATTCAATGACTTCATCTTTTGCTTGAAGTTTCATTTCCATCTCTCCGCGTTCTGCTTTATATAGTTCATCTAACATCATGAAAATATAACAAGCATAACGAGGTGAAGCCCACATTGCAACAGCATTTACTAAAAGTCTATGAATATAATATCCTTTCAAACCAGGAGCCAAATTCTTTCGATTTTCATACGGAATCTCTTCTCTCGGTTTTCCGAGGGAAGCAATCATATGAGGAAATTCTTCTAAAAGTTCTTTTGTCTGTTGGTTTTCAAACCAATGATAGGCTTGCTTTGTAGAACAAAGAGCATTCATTATACTTTGCACCTGGTACATGTCATCTTTGACTGAACGAATGAGTCTCAATTGTTTGTTATACTGTATGTACTCGTATTCTTCATTTATGGCTTCATGAACGATAGCAGTTGTTGTGTTCTCTGTTGTTGACATTACTGTCTTTACATACAAGATAAAAAAATAAATAAAAATAAAACTAACTTTATTTTCTGACTTTCACAAAAGACCAAAAATAAACGCTTTACATGTATTTTTCAGCAACTTCGTCAAATAATTTTATAGCTTTATCTATCTCATCTACTTCAAACGTTTCTTTACCTTTCGTGGGAGCACCATACATTTTCTCAAAAACTTCAAGCAGTTCTGTTTCTGCAGCTCTCATATCATTAACAAACACAACCTTGACTCTATTGACTGTACTGTCATATCTTTGAGTTATATTATATGTCCTTCCTATCTTATATCTTTTGTGTTGAAGTCCTTCGGTTTCTGAACGATGTAAAGTAAGCCTTCACTGCAACGTTCCGTATTGAATGAACCATATGTTATGAAGTTATATCCAACAACTGGGTTTAACCATAACAAAACTATTGGTATAAGACTTTTGTCTATAAGATATGCTCTTGTTCCATGAAATGCTACTGATATCATAAGCTCAGGATTTCTTGTCAAAATTTTCTGAGTAGAAGCAATTCTAACCCAGTCCTTTGTTTTCTTTCCAGATGGAGATATAATGTCTGACAAAGAATATTTGTTGTATTTCTTTGAGTATCTTACGTTTAAATCACCTATTCTAACCACTTTGGTGTCATTGTCTATCTTTCTAACTGTTTCAAACTCAATGTTTGACATTACTGTCTTTACATACAAAATAAAAATTTTTCTTAGAAAAAAATTAGCGTTATTTTTCTAACTAATGAAATTCATGAAATTTGGTCATTTTTCAGTAAAAATATAATTTAGGTGAAGTGGTGAGATCTCACCTCTTTTTTCACCTAATTTTTCACCTCTTTTTTCACAAGCGTTTTACATGAATTGTACGATGTATATTTGAAATCCTAAACAGTTTTGTAGCTTCTATTTCTTCGCTGAGGATATCATAAGTTTTAACAATGCCGAAAGTCTCTTTATATTTCTTCTTGACGTCAGACAGAAGGAAATCTTCTGCTGTTGGATAATTTTTATTAAGAAATGTCAACATGTCCATTTTATCTTCTGCTGGCTTTTCTTGCTTCTTTCTTTAAGTCTGCATAGTCGTTTCGCATTCTTTCTATCTCTTTGACTGAGTAGTTATATTTTCTTATTGCTGCTTTACATTTTGAACATTGCGGCATCGTTTTTGCGTTATACATTGAAATAAAACCAGCTAGAACAACTAAGGCGTCAATGGTTTTCTTTAACTCAAAAGCTGCTGGTTTTATCTGTTCGTTCCATACTTTGCCTCTTCTATCTTTATCTCTTATTTCCCAAACACATTCAGCAACTAATGAAACAAAGTTGTCGTAGGTCTTAAATTCTTCGGATTTGTAAAGGTCAGAAATATTTTTATAAACCATGTCGCAATCTTTGTCCATAACTTTATGGTTGCAATGAAAACCAAGGAATTCATAATTTACTTTACGTATGAATTTCTTAATTTCTACTGAGTCAGTTGTTTTGACTTCAATTTCGTCGAATTCAGGAATAGTTAGTTTTTGATGCTGAATTTCAGGTAGTTTAGGTAAATGGTCGATGAGGTCCTCCATTTCATAAAGATACTGTTCATTTGTTTCATCTTTCGCACTACAGTCTAAATTACTTGTTAAAAGTTCTTGCTTTATCTTCTGGATTTCTGTTTCAAAAGTATATGAAGGAGGAATAAAGCTTTTCATCTCTACCAACATTGACGTAGGATTCATGACTAATGAATTTGGTGCTGTAGTTGTGGACAGAGCCCCGCCGTTCGCGGTTTGAATTGTTGTTGTGCCGATTGTTGAAATCATATCTTTTATACAAAATAAAAAAATAAATAAAAATAAAATTAACGTTATTTTTATCTTTTATGAAAATTCACGAGACCCAAAGGTCAGAGTCGCAACGCGGCTAGGGTGAAAAATTAGGTGAAAAAAGAAGTGAGATCTCACCACTTCACCTAAATTTATTTTTGGTACCATTCATGATATCATGACTGTTCTCGTTCATGTCTGATTTACATCTAATGAAAAAGTTTAGAAGAATTTTCTTATTCTTTCTGGCATATTTTTGTCTTTCCAGTACTCCCGCTCTAATGGTCCCAGATGTGTTGGCTTTGACTCTCTCAAGTTCTTAGATGGTATAACATCTTCAACACCTCCTTCATATCTTACTTTATAAGTGTCATCGTTTATGTTGTAGTCAAGTATTTCAATAACCACTCCTCGCTTTGCTTCGTCAATGGTTTCAGCAAGTTTGCCATTACTACTTTCGACTAATTTATGACGAGGGTAAAATGCAATGGAGTCGTCAGCAGCTTTTATAAGATATCCATTACCTTGCGTAGAGTCTACGATATAATAGTTTCTACTTAACCTTAAACGTTTCTTTGTCAACGGTTTGTCGTCAAGGACTACACGAACTTTTGTACCAGGAATGAGGGTAAATTGTGTTGAATTTCTGATATTTTGTGTTTGGCTTCGTTTCTTTTGTATATACTTTTCTTCTTGTGTTGTGTCATTGAATTTGGTGTATGTCCTGTTGTAGAATGTGTTGAGGAATTATATACTTCGAGAAAATGTTTCATTGTTTCTTCGGTAAAGTCTCGCTCTTGGTTTAAATCTCTGAGAGTCCTTATGAAGCGGTTAATGATGCCGAGTATGTTATGGTTATGGTCTTCAGTAGTGTAGTGAGTTATGTTATGCTTAATGAGAAAATCTGTGATTTCATTGCTGAGGTATGCACTGTCTTGGTCTGAGGTTAAAGTACTTGGGCTATGTTCTGCTACAAACTTTTGTAAAACTCTTAACACTTCACGAGTTCCTTTATTCCTCATTGGATATGCATATGCTTTGCGAGTGTTAACATTAATGAAGATGAGGAATGGTTTATGTCCTCCTTTTCTGCTTTGAATGAGAGTGTCAAATTGGTATGCGTCAGGAGTGTTGGAGTAAATTGGTAAAAAGTAGTCGTAAGGGTTTATTTTTGTTTGATGTACAACATTTTTGTCAAAGAACCTTTTCACTTCAGCTCTGTTAGTAAATCCCCAACTCTTTGCAGCTTCATTGAATTTTTTAAATGACCTCCACGGTGATGATTCGAATACTTCTTTCAAGCTCATTTATGTAAAGTTAAAGATTTCATTCAAGACGGTAAGCCTTGACACAAAGGTCTGGGCTCAAGCGCGTTCATTCAACGCGGTACCATGCGAATACAGTCATAAATGGTGGCATATAATCTTCACCCGAACCTGTTGGATTTGTTGTGAAAGTGTGTGAATGATTTCCTCCTGGTTCAGTTGGTCGAAAAGTCTTTTTTGCTGAATTGTTATAAGCTGGAGATAAAACGTCATTGCCAGCTTCATACTCTGAGTTGTATAATGGGTGGTCTCTTAATGAGTGGCTATGGTCGCCAGAAAAGTTTGTCGTTCCTGTGTGCTTATGTGGCGGAAGGTTTGCTTCTTTAATTTTCTTTGAACCTCCGGCTTGTTTTGAACTTTTAGTACAATATAAGAATTTGTCTACAATCTGTTCCCACTTACCAAAACCTAAAACTGTTGCTGGATTTGTTGAATTCATTGACGTATAAATAGAGCCTGTAGGATATAATGTTTGAAGTATTTCAGTCTTTAATGTTTGAAGCTCTGTTTTGTCAGCCTTTTTATCTAACATTGCTGGTAGTTCATGTGCTTCAAAGTTTCTGGCATGACTTTCAATGTTCCTGCAACTGTTATCTAAACTGTTTAGTGTATCTTTTACGCTTGTACTTGGATTCTCTAAAGGTGCACTTGAACCAAGGTCAAAGTTCAGTATTATGTCGTCTGCTCTAACAGTAGTGAAGGATTTATGTGTATGGTTCTTGTCAGCCTTTTTATCTAACATTGCTGGTAGTTCATGTGCTTTAAAGTTTCTGGCATGACTTTCAATATTCCTGCAACTGTTATCTAAACTGTTTAGTGTATCTTTTACGCTTGTACTTGGATTCTCTAAAGGTGCACTTGAACCAAGGTCAAAGTTCAATATTACATCGTCTGCTCTAACAGTATTGAAGGATTTATGTGTATGGTTCTTGTCAGCTTTACTATTTAATGTAGCTTGAAGTTCATTTATATCGGAGATATTGTGTTTATGAGATTTCAAAACTTTGTTCATTGCGTCAAGTTCAACTTTGTCAGCTTTACTTTTAATAGCATCTTCAAACGTTATTTTTGCCTTAACCCTCAAAGTAAATTTTGGTTCAACTAATACACCGTTAACAAAGAAACTAGAGGCATAAATTTCATCGTTATAACCAAATGTTTCTTGTGCTTTACCCGTGTCATACTGTACAGTACAGTGTATGTCATAACCTTTAGCACGAATGAATTTATATCTTCTTTCATTAACATCTTCAGTGCTTATTTGTTCATCCTGTGTTAAATATCCATGGTAGTCCGTTATAATCTGTTCGTCTGAACTTATATAATGAACATGGTTTTTATCTGCTTTTTCGGCTAATTTCTCTTCTATCTCATTTATTTCAAGTTCATGCCTACCACCACCTCCTTCAGAAGTATTTTTCTTCAGCTCTTGAAGAACATCCACTTCACCATCTTTGGTGTCAATAATGAGACTTTGAGTTAAAACCTTTCCTGTCTTAATGGATGTTTGTAAAACTTCTTCTTCACCGTGTTCGGGGTCATGGTCGTCATCATATCTTGTGAAATCAGAGATGTTGTCATACATTAAGCATATCTGTCTCAAAAGTTCTGCTATTTGAAACTGGAACGAAAGATATACAGAACTTTCATCATCTCCTAAAGTCAAGTCTGCTTTCTTAAGTATTTCTTGAATGTATGCAATGAGAACAGAGTACCTTGGAAAATATTCGAACAATATTTCATTAGCTGTTGGTTTTGGTGGTTCTTTTGGAGTTTCTGTTGTTTCAGTTCCTTCTGTAGGTTCTGTTGGAGTTTCTGCATCTCTTGACTTCAATGCTCTTGCTCTCAAAGACCTAAATGTTAGAGCACCAGGTTTTACAAAGGACTTTATAAATGCTTTAATAGTTCCTGGTAAGTTATTGTTAGCATTAAGTAAGTTCCTTATGCTTCCATCATGTACGTCCATAGCACTATGTAAAAAATCTATACTTTTCTTGTAGTCAGCAATAGACTGACTGTGATTTTTTAAAGATTTGTCAATACCTTTAAGCCAATCTTCATGCATGTCTGATACTGAGCCAAGAATATCATTTGCTTCCTTTAGTGTATTTTGTGCTTCTCGTAAAGTATCCAATCCCGTACGTGCATTGTTTGCTATACGTCTTACAGTATCTATTTGACTCCTTGTTTCTTGCATCCAACCAGATAAAGTTTTAATAGTATCCGAACCATTTGAAATGAAGTTCAAAGCATTTTTAACGTCATCTAAAGCTTCTTCACCAAGTACTGCCCATATCTTTCCGATTTGGTATTGAAGAACTCCATATGAAGCAGCTGTTAAACCAGTATTTATAAGGTCCCATATCCATGATTTAGCAGTTTTTCCATTTTTTCCATCCTTTCCATCCAAACCGTTTTCGCCTTGAGGTCCTTGTATTCCTTGTATTCCTTGTGGTCCTTGAGGTCCGGTGTCACCCTTCTCTCCTTTCAGTTCATCTTTATGTTCGTTATAATATTCTAATGTCATAAGGTGTACATCATTACTGTTACCAGCAACGCCAAGAATTTGTTTCTCATTCATGACTAAATTCTTTAAGCATTTAATGTTGTCGTCAAATCGAAAGCTCTTTAACAATTCAATGAGAACATTTAATACTTTCACTAATGAGGCATCTACTGTAGAATTTATATATTGTACCGTTCCATCATTTATGATAGGAACTTTACTTATTGTAATGAATGGGTCATAAGTGTTAAAAGTATCGAAATCAATGACTTTTTTAGTTTTTCCATCGTCAATGACTAAATCATTGCCTTCCACTGTTAAAGTTGAGTTTTCGTTTACTAATTCATGTGCTCTTCTTGCTTCATTTGTTTCATACGCATATGCAGCAATAGTCATATTTTAATGAGAATAAAATGTTGTTCTATTTGCAAAGTACAGACCCAAACGAATACGGGACAGTAAAGCTACAAACAAACTTAGGTCTTCAGAATGAAGCGCTTGCTTTCAGAGTTGTTGACTTCAATACTATCGCAACTTTTGTCATAACAGATGAAACAGATTTCATAGAGATTGAAATAGATGACAAAAGAAGTGTTATAACATTTCCTAACAGAGCTGGGTATAGAATAGATAAAATTGCTGGAGTCATAAATACTCTCATAAATGAAGAAACTATTGACAACATAGATGTCGAACTCTCTTCTGAGGGAACATTGAAGTTCAGTAGCAAGAAAGAGTTTAAGATACCAAGAATGAGTCATAGAGTACAACTTCTTTTGGGTGCATACCATATGACATTTCCTTTGAAAAGTGTTGACAAAACGATTGAGATGAAATCTGTTCCATATGTATGTTATGGCAATTGTTTGTACATTGAGTCAAAAATAGCTAATGTCACAGGCATTTCAGGAGTTAATAGTAAAGGTTCAGTAGAATATAAATCCTTCTGTTATGCAGTCAATTCAATGTTCATTCCAAACGTTCCTGTCATAGCAACTCATTTAGGTAAATGGGTTCGCATTAGTCCTCATAATTTGAAAGACATGCAATTCAGACTTGTTGACTTTCAAGGAGAGCCTGTAGAACTGAAGGCACCAGTGCGAATGACTGTTGAAGTTGACTTTTTAGAAAATATTAAATGCAACAGCTTACAAGAGAACTCAGAGCTAAAAATATAAAGTATGAATGTTATGTATTAGGTCATGAACTTTGGTTGTTGCTGTTTGATGAAACAAATGAATTAGTTATGTCAGTCAAGAGAACAGAAAAATATTGTGTTAGTGAAAACTGCACCAAGTCAATAAGATTAGGTTTGCATTATGAAGATGAGTTCGATACTGTTGAAGAAGTTTTGGACAGATATTACAAATTGCTTTAATTTACTAAAACATATTTCAAACAAAGTTTATATTCTGTTGAAAGTTTTGTATATTCATTCGAATATTTATACTTAAACTCAACTCCTGTAGTTCCTGGTGTTTCAATGATGCGGATGTTACCTATTTTCATGAATAGTGGAGTTTGACCACAGCATTCGATTTCAGGGTCGAGATAGTCAATGACACATTGTTTCCCTGTTATTCGTGATATAACATTTTCAATCCTCCTTTGTTAGAATTATTTGGTTCTTACTAATAAGATTTGTCAAAAGCTTCTTATCGTCTTTGAGTAAAATTGTTTGGTATAACTGAAGAAGGTAATGGTCTACGTTATCTGAAGGATTTGTTTGAACATTTGTGTAAGGGTTGTCGTTGGCTTCTCTTGAAAGAATTTGGTCCAGTGGTGGATACTCTAACTTAACATCTGATGTAGCGTTAGCGTTTGAAGCTGAGTTTAAATTCACCGACTTAAGTTCTGGTTCTTTTTCTTTCAAACACTCTGAACTATAGTTCTTTATGACAATATTGTTTGTCGTTCGTGAGTCAACATTTGATGTTGGTTCAATTGGAACATTAACGGCACCAGCTAAGATGGACTTACTTCTCATTTCATATAGAATAAAAACCTTTTATATGTATGAAATGAACAATATACTCGACAAGGGTTTGAATGTAAAGCTAACGAATGAAAATATTGTTGAATTCACTGAACAGGTGCTGTGTATAAAGATGTAGAACTACTGAACAAAAGAGCTAAGGGAAGAAGCAGGAACATGAACAAAGGGTGGAAGCCTATAAAAATTTATGTCAATGATGGCTCAGGAGGTTCAAACATAAAGTATGCAGAAAGTTATAGAGTTTATGCTCTCAAAGGTGAAAAGCCTTCATTTAAGAACAGCTATTCTAACGCATATCCTCAAAAGCTAACGGATGGGGAAGTGGATGATATGAATGACAGCAAAAATATTAACAGAAATGGCGACAGAGATGCATGGAATTTGTTTACCATCAGTCAATTGAAGGTTAAACTTTAAAACAATGTTGGTCGTTCCCATGGAATATTTTTGACTTTAATGGTATTAGTCATGATATGAATCTCAAGGTATGAACGAGGAGAGATGAGAGACTTATATGCTTCCCAAATTTCTTCAAAAGGTAATGTTATACCTGACTGTTTCCAAATGAGTTCAATATCATAACGTGAGAAACCTTGAAAGATAACGAAGTCAGTTATGAGACGTTTTATGTTTAAAGCTAAAAACCTCCATGTTTGCATAAGTATTGCTACAGTTAAATGGTAATGTCTGACTTTAGTAATGATGTTAGCTAATGGTGAGTCAGGCTTTGACACTAAACCTTTTCCGGCGAAGTCGTCACAAACGAGCAGAGTGTTTGAAGGATATTTTTTGAAGGGGTATTTTGAAAGTTTTGACAGAATGTAGTTTGTAAGTCGTTTCATATCGTAAACTCCTGAGTATTGACGTAAGTGGTGTTTGTCAATAATTCTTTCCATCTCCTCAGAAGTCTTTTGCATTCCTGACTGTATAAATTCAACGATGGCATAATATTTCTCTTACGTCGAATGTAACGTTGAAGAAATTCAATGAGTTCACTGTCTGGAACTTTAACGACAGAGGCTTGAACTTTTGACATAAATGTTTTCGCTGTTGAGTCCATAGAGTCTGAAGTTGCTGATATAATGATTTGGTCATAATATGAGTCATTTCCTAAACGTTCTGTTTATGAGTATATGACGAATGAGGTTAAATGTCTTACCTGAACCCATCTTTCCACAATAGAAATACACACCATTTGAACAGAACTCATAATCCTTGCTGAAAGGAAGAATAAGAGAAGTTGAGTTTTCTGTTTCATTCATGTCTTCATCTACGTCATGTATTAAATGCTTCATTTTATCTCCATTAAAAATGCAAGTCAGAAATATTCAGAACATAGCACCGAGTCTAACTGACAAGAGTATAAAGATATACTATGAACACGTTATGATGAAACCTACCAAAATTCAAGAAAGTCAGTATACTTATGAATATCCAAGACACTGGGTAGAGTATGTAGGAGGTGAGAAAGCTATTGAAATCAGACAGGTTCGAAGTATTCCAGCAGGAAGAACAATATTATTGAAGAACTTTAATGTTTTGAGGTATAATGATGAAACAAAGAAGCAAGATAGTTTTCCTGTTGCTGTGTATGTGAACCTAGACACAGGAGATGACATGAAAGTTTTTAACACAAAGCTTCAAACGGTAGTGAGAGAACAACTACTGCGGAAGGACATCCATTACCTTCAGAAGTTACCATAGCATATAATTTTGAAACAAACTCAATAGATTTTAAAGTCGTCTCTGCAAAGAAGTCAGGTTTTACATTTAATGAAGCAGATGTATATTCGAATGAAAACTTCAAAGCTATTGCATGGTTAGATAATGACGATTGCTTTAAGAAAATCTTTAAATTCAGTGACTCAAAGATGTCAATAGATGACCTTCGTGGAATGTTACCATCGACGTTTACAGTTGAAGGTTCAGCAGGATTGCTTACAAGATTGTCAATTGGTGGCGTTTGGTCTCGTGAGAACATTGTTATAAAATCCAGTATAAGTGAATTTGCTGAAGAATCTATATTATGTCTTTCAAACTACATGTATTCGCCGCCAAAGCATTATAGTATAACAAACTTTGTCAGTAAGTTTAACATAAGACTTGTCGAACCTTCTTCAATGAAAGATGTTGTGCTACCTAAAGATGGAAAGGATGGACTCATTATTGAGATGATTTTAATAGCATATTAAATGAGCTTGTTCTTGAAGGTCATTCATGATGAAATAACTGTTGTAGAAGATGTTAGCAATTGTTCAGACATTTTGAAGCGTATAGATGATATAAGAAATAAGTTAGATAGACCGCAAAGCGGTGAGGGCGAAGCCCGTGAGAACGCTTATGTTTCATTGACTTTCTCCAGTAACGAGAACTTTTATGAGATAATATTGAAGAGAGATGATTTTAATATGGGTAAATGGTAGCTTGGGCAGCTTTAGGCGCAATGGGAACAAAAGCATTAGCATTTGGAGCAAAAGCACTTGGAGCTTATGACGCAGTAAATAAAATGAGTGGAGGAAGGTTTCGAAGACATTAGATGCAAATAAAGGAAGATTGGAGGCTG